CCACTGGCTGGGGGACCATAAGATCTTATTGTTATCTCTTCAAAAACCCACAAGGATTTCATCTTCCTATCTCTTGAAGAATGTGATTTGTTGAGAGGTACTTGTACTGGTATGGTAATACTGGTTATTGTTTAATTATTAAGTAGAAAAAAAATAAAGAGAGGATGATTTTGTCATTAGAGATATTAGAAATTTTAATTACCTGTAGAATTAAATTCTGTCTCTCTTTCTTTCCCCCTCTCTCTGAAAATAGCTAATTATTAGTATATTTAAGAATTAGTATATTTTAGAATTCAAAAGAAAAAAATCAAGAATTAAAAGAAAAAGGAAAAAAATATTCATAGTTTTACTTATTCCCTCAATCAGAAAAATTTAAAAGAAAATATTTCTTTATTATAAAAAAAAATTTCCAAATGAATTTGAGGGAATAATTTTGAAAAAAAAAAATCAAAGAAAAACACTGAAATTTAAAAAAAAGAAGATAATTTGACAATGTGTTTATGTAATGGAGAAGAGCTTGCAGGCATCAAGTTCTGCATCCTCTTTTTGTTCCATCACACACACACCTGAGCAGGTGAGATAACGAGCTCCGTTTGTCAGCACACTTCAGTGTTTGTTGTGACACATTATTTGTCGTTCATTATTATGTCTACTCCTTCCCCTGACGCGTTTGATGTGACTCCTCCAATACCACTGTTAACTCTGTGGCTGCAGGCACATCTCTTGGGTGGTGTAGGAAAAAACTTGATAGAACAATATCAATTAAAATTTGAATGCACAATTGCCCTCCCACCCAATTCTGTCAGTGTGCCAACGGTTGGAGGCTCATCAGTCGAGTTAAAAAACAGGTCTTAATCTCGTTAAGCCATCAAATTGGTGTCAAGATTAGTGTATGCAGCATCTTTATGTATAAAATAAACAAACTCCTCATGTGCTGTTTGCCAAAAACTGTGGAGGGCTGTAATTAATCTATATGCTGCAAGTTAAAATTAATTTGTCGTATTTTTAAAGAGGTTTCACACTTTCACGAAAATTTTCCACGTTTTCTTTTCCTTTTCATTTTGGCATACTTATATTTCTCTGTGCCTGAACATTTTTGTGAAGTACAAGAGCTTGTCATTTTATGGATCATAGCGAGACAATTTCATCCCTGGCTTGTCACTGATTACTCTAAAGATGGGGAGAAGATCTCGCCACAACATCTGTAATCCTTATTTTGAAACTCATTCACGAGCAATGGAGACAAAATAACCTGATGGTCGGGTGCTCTTCTTTTTGTCAAATTATTTATTTATAGATATATTGAAATTTTTTATTTTATTTTACTCTTTATTGATATTATCGGATGTTCTAGTTAGGTCATCAAAGACAGATAGATTTTGAATTGAAAAGCAAGGAAAAAATTATTTTCCATTAAATATTATAAAGTATTGTTCAGTTTGTCTCCACCCAATAGAATTCAGTCTCCACAATTTTTTGAAAAAAGCAACAATAAAAAAAGATGAAAAGGAAATAATGCAGATTGCTCACCATTTTCTTTTTTCAGCAGACCTTTTGTCCTTTTATTTATTGTCAGCAATAATAAAGCAGGGATTTGAGGGGTACATATGGTTAATATATTTAGGAGATAAATACTGTAATTACGTGACAAAGCACTTTGACATGTGTCTGAGAGGCCCATAGTGTTGGAGGTGCAATCCTCGGTTATTATGCTAAAAAGGTGCTGTTTACTGTAGACAAATATTGTCATATTTACAAAAGGATATTTATTTTGGGGGCCAAGTCTTCACATTGCATTGGCCTTCTTCCTTCCTGCATTCTGTAAAATACAACAGCGCGAGACAAAAAAAGATTGTCAGAACAAACAAGATGTCGTTACAGATGTACGACTGGTCAGAAAAATGCCAGAATCTTGTCACGGCTCTGAGGAGAGTCAGGACTGCTCGGGACTTTTTTGAAGTCGTGAGACTTGACAGTTTTTTCGTCTTGCGACAATGCCTGTCTTTCCTGGCGAACATGGCCAGTTATGTCAATGGCTGCAAGAGGAACACCATTCTCTCATGTAACCATAATGTTATAACAGATTATAAGTGTTAAATATTAGATAAGTATCGCCAATCAATCTAGTCTCCTAATGTAGAAAATTAATCAACAAGTTTACAATGTGACCTAAGGCCTACATTAGAGGAACATTAAAATAGCGCCTGTTGGGTGATAAATTCAATAAAAATTTCCTTTTTATTGTTCTTTATCCTATTAGGAAAATGCCATTTTCTTCTGCCTGTGAATAAAATTGGCAAGTTTTTAAAAATTTAAAAACACTGATTTCCATTTGACTTTACTGAACAAATAAACATGATGAGCATTGAATACAGATATTATATTTTAATAGCTGATGATTTTTATGGCATTTGTTGATAAAAAGAATGGATTTTCAGCATTGCGTATTTTGATTTAATTGCGTAAGAAATAGACAATAAAAGATGTTTTTGTTGTTGAAATTCAAAATGAAATAAAACCCTGGACTAGAAATAAATTTTAAATGTATTGTGTGTTATGATCCTTGTCAACATTTTCACTTCCCTACATTTTGCATACATGTAATTGCTTTCTAAAAGTCAAACCACATGCTATAAAAAGTTTAACAATGCCATTTCGGGATTTTAATAATACAGTTTTGATTTACTAAAAGGCATAAGAGTAGCTATAGTCAATTACCAATGAGATCCACTCTTGACAAGTTTTAATGTGGCCGATTTAAATCAGAGAAAAAATGATAATTCAAAAATCAGTTAATGTATTTTAAATATTTGAATTTGAACACAAAAATAACAGGGGGTAAAATATCGGTTAATTTAAAACACACTGTGCATTTTCCTCGCATTCCATACAAAAGGGATATACTTTTGCACACTTGTGCAATATTGTTGGACTAGTATTAATTATTACACCGGGTTATGAGCAATTGCTGAAGAAGTTTTATATAACATATGGGAGCTTGTCAATAGGAGGAAGAAGTAGATATACATATACCACAAAGCTAATGAATTTGACCTAGCAGGCTAGTAAAATGAATAACTGCTGATCATTATTAGAACAGAGAGGGATAAATCCATCATGTCCATCAAACCCATCACAACAGAGATCATGAATAATCAATTATACTTAGGTATATCTGTCTTATAGGGGTACTGTATTTACTACTTATTTTGGGACAAGCAGGTGAAAAAAAATAGGCTTGAACTTATGAAACTTATTATTGTGGCAATTGGTTAGAGAATAGATTTCACTCCATCTATGTATATTTTTTTGTAAAGATTTAGGGGGAAAATTACACATGAAGTGTTGATTCTTACAATTTTTTCTTCCACATTTGTAAGAAATAATAGAAAAAAATTCAATCTTGAGTGAATATTAAAAGAGATTGTCATAGCATCTAGTTATGAAGGCTGCTCTAATAATATTTCTGAACACTTGTCAGACACCTGATTCATCATTGCCAATCATAGACTGTTAGATAACGTGTAAAAATATTGGTTTTAATTTGACTGATTAGCATCTCGCTTGTAAATTGTACTTTCACAGTTATATAGCCACTAGCCAAAGATTAACAAATGGATTTATGTGCATATATATATGCAAAGATTTTTGATAAGATCGAGTTTAAAAAGATTTAGAATAAATAAAAGATAAACATGTTTTTAAAAAAAAAAGTTTGTAAGCATTATCTAAATTTTAAAGTTTTATTTTGTATATTTTATACATCAAATTTTTTTTTCGGAATTTCAACCTTTCTGCTTTTTAGTGTATTTCCAAATATGTGTAGGAGAAGATAAAATTTGGAGTGGATAAAATTTGAAATTAATTCTTTGATATGGAAAATCGAAGGAATACTAAATTCTATGCTACATTACATCAAATCTTGACAACTGGTGCCTGGGTAACACAAATTACATCCAATGACTCAAAATAGTCTGGATTTTCTCTAAATGAGCCACAAAATATAATTCATGAGATGGTTAATAAAAATTGTAATGATCATCAATAGGTAGCTTACATCAGATCAAATGACAGATGACAAAGATACATTTGTACAGGCCCCAGGCACTGAAGGAAAAGTAAGGAAGTATGTATAATACCCGGTGAGGTTAGTCAAGGTGTTACTCCTAGTCCACCTTTGTTTGTTTCTACACAAAACACTTCCTAGTCTATTGTCAGAGAGGAAGGACTTGTTTAATTTCTGTGCCACACTGTGATACAGAGGGTTGCATTGACATTTGTTCTCTCCAATAATCAGGTTTGATATCCTTAAAGTTAAACTTGTAATTTCACATTTTAATTTTTTTTTATATACTTTTTTAAAACAAGGTGTATGTATTCTAATTTTTTTTTTTTAAGATTTGTTGGATTTTTCTATCATGAATGAAATGAAGTGGTTTACGTGCTAAACTTCATGCAGTTTTTTTAGAAATAATCATATTCATTGTATTTACTGAAAGAGCATTGCTACCATTGATAAAAAAAAGTTCTAAAAAATCTTACCCTTGAAAGTTAGCAATTTCAATTTAGACTTGAAATTGTAATAAAACTGAGTGTAAGCCTATATTTTTGTTTATATCATTCCTTGTTCTCTAAGTCTAATCTAAGATTTCCATACTGTGAGATTTTTGTACAAGAACACTGCAAGTGTTGTATACCAGAATCATTGTTTATGGTTAGACATTCTACAAGTCCTTGGGAATTTTTATAAGTGCAGTTCCATATTTTACTATAACACATTCAAGATTTGATAACCTCTGCATCCCAGCTGTTAAAGAACAGTAACTGATCATCCTAGATTTCAACTTTCACATCAAAATTTGAAAAGTGTGATATGGTGACAGTTTAGGCAAAATATGCTGAATTTGTTGCTTTTTTCATCACCTTTCACTCTCTGTTCAGTTATTAAAAAGATAAGGCAATATATATGTTCTAAGTGTTTATTTCTTTTCATTTTGTAGGAGTATGTCTTCAAAACGTAAAAATACTCCGACCAAACTGCCAAAAGACAGCAACAGTGAAGTAGACAGTGACAGTGACACTGAAACCAGTCTCCACATAGTGACAAAATCAGACAGTGAAAATCAGGACTCCGATTCATCCAGCAGTCGGCCGCCGAGTAAAAAACAACGAATTCTTCAGAGTGTGCGGCAGGACTCGGACTCAGAGACTGAGCTGGAACTCTTATCACCTCATCAGCTTCATCATCACCTCTCAACAAAGTCCAATCTGGGACTGCAGCGTAAATCCATGGAAAGTGTTCTGCGACGACTGAGCTCCAAATCGGACATTTCGGAGCTCGAGAATAACCACATGAACGAGGACAACAAAGTCAAGGAAAGCATTCAGGTTTTACTGAGTGACGGAAGCTTGAAGGAAAAGGAGCAGAGACTCAGCGAGATGATTGCTCAACTACAGAGCCTCAAGGAGGATCTGTCCACGCAAAAACAGGTAGGACCGCCATTAAAACAAATAATGTGAGACGTTCACATGAGCTCTATGAGTCTCCCATATAAAAAACTTATTTTCTCAATTTTCAATTTGGACATTCGTTGTTTTTTTTTCTTTTAAAATTAATATAAGTATTTTACTAACTTGTGTTCAGAGGAGACAATAGAATAAAGAAAAAAAGTGAGTAAAAAAGAAAGGCAACTGTTATTATTTATTGTTTTACTTGTGAGTCACTATAAAATCATAGCGATTCTCTCTTTCCCCTTTGATTGATGAAAGCTGGATCATTTGTGATCACGATCTCTCTTTGTTTTGACAAGAACAATATGTTCTACATCAGTTTGAGAAACAGATTTTTTTTAACATTGAAGTCTTGAACATATGATAAGCATCATAAAAATGAAAATAAAAATTTTCAGATATTATTTAAATTTATTGCATATGTTTTTTGGTGACTTCTTTCTCGATGATTGAAGTAAAAAAATGACATGTCTGCTAAAATGTAGATACTATTGAAAGAAGGTTTTAATTATACATATATAGAGAAGCTAGTTAGCAGTCCTATGGAAGAATTGATATAGTGCCTCCGTGAAACTCATAATTGAACTGTAGCCATTGTTTAGAATCTAATCCAGCCATCAAATTATCTGATTTTCTGGATTGTTTCAAAGTTAAGTGAACGACATGGAAAGGTACTCCTGCATTATCAGGAAAACAAGGCAACTATAAGAAAAAGATCTCCCCCATTTCCAACTTGTTATGTACTGCAGATTTAGCGATGAGATGTGATTGTTTCTAATCAAGGGAGATAATTAGATTTATTTTTTTTGTGTCAGTTATGCCCCTTTTCTTTTGGAGGATGAGAGTATTCTTGATCGATATTGTGTGTATATTTGTGAATTTGATAAGAATGATTTTGCAAGTTCTCTGCTTTCAAGTTCACTTAACTAATGGTAATCAACAAGTGTAAAACATTTATATAAATGAGATTGTAAGAATTTTAAAATATTCTACATGGTTGACCAATTAACCAATTTTCTGAACTCATTGTCAAATGTTGCATTTTTTTTTTCAAATAAAACACCTTTAAGGATATAAATGTTTGGATAATTTATAAATTAAAATAGTTTATCTGTGTCAGTTACTTGAAAAACCCCACTGTACAGTAACAGTTGAAGTTTGCCCACATCCTTAAAGTTCAAGTATTTTAGATGTACCCAGAAACACTTAAGATTTTTGTTTAGTATTCCTGGTAGGGGAGTATATTAGATTGATAATTTCTGGTTTTTTTTACAGGGTTCCATAAACCACACAGAATTCAAGAACATGCCAGGTATGTGAACTTTTTTTTTGTGTTTTTTACAATTTTTGTAAAAAACAAAATATCAGCTGACTACCTTAAGGGTAATTAAAATTTAGATAAAGAGTTTAGAACGAGCCGTAATGATTATTTACTGTAGTTATTTATTTTTAAAAAAAATGAAAATTTTGAAAATATGATAAATTTAAAAACAAAGGACTTGGAAAAATTAGTTCTTTAAGAAGCCTCCATTGTTCTTTAAAAAAGGGGTGCTTTTTGCAAGTTCCAGAGTGCGTCTTGCGGTTTTCAAGCAAATCGTGTTTATAGACATGCCAAACTAAATCGGTACACGAGAAACAACCTATAATGTCTTCAGCTGTCCAACCCATATTTCAGGCTTCAAAGCAGCTCAAGACTTTGTTTTGGAAAAAATAATAATGGTAAAAAGTTAATTCATTTTGAAGAAAGGGCATCATAATATGATAGTATAGTTGATTGTTAGTGCAGTCTTTGAAGTAAGTGATTTAATCTTCCGTACCCATGGTGTTGCAGTCATTTTGATTCTTGGGGAGAATTATGATCACCCTTGATAAAAACAAATGTTGGTGATTAAACCGTTTTTTCTTGCCACTTCCCTCATTGACAAATCTGCGTGATATTACCTACTAATTATCCACCAGCCCTCTCCTTCCTTAACGAAATAAAGAAAATAGAACTTCTCAGAGTGGTCAATGGCCGAAACTTATACAACATCAAAAAGCTCTTTACCTAAACAACACTGTTGAAAATTGAAATTTGTTAATTGTCTGTGAGGATTCAGTCTCTCCCCCCTCATTTTATTGTGGGAAACTTCCAAGAACCTAAAAGGTTTACGAATTAAAAAAAAAAGCACATGGAAATAACAAAGCTTAGCTCTCCTTCTAACCATGCATTTGTTAACAGGGAATTCATCATTGTTTCATTGCATTTAGTTTTTTTTAAATCTGACAGAGACAAAGGTATTTGATGCCTCATTATTGTTAGTGAGGGAAGGCAATTAGAAATGAACCATGCCACTTGGAGAAGAGCAAGACCCCCACATCACAAGCGTTCCCACAATACACTGCCAGAGACAGCCAGCAGTGTTCAACAGATGCTTGTTCTCTTCCCCTCCTTAACAAAACAATGCTAAAAAATTAATTTTAAATGAATTGTCAAAAAGATGGAGTTCTTTAAATACATTTTCACTCTTTCTCTTTCTGTCTTTCGTTGAGATGGATTTAAACTAATTTTTTGGGGGGAAGGTTTATGCTAATTGAGTGCGTTGGGAATGTGAAGATAGAAGTTTTGTTATGGGGATTTGACAGTGATGATTGTTTGCGAGACTAGGGGTGAATGCATAGACCACATGTTTTGTGTTATGCTAGGAAATGTCAGGTAATGCCAGCATTTCAACAGAACAATTATATTTGTCAACAAGGTCCAAAACAGAAGGCCCTCTGGTAGATAGATATAGTCTGGGAGCCAGAGAGATTTGCTGCGGCTAGCGGTGGAAATCTTTGATTAAATTCAAGAGTACTCGAAAATTTACCCATGGGTCCTTGAAAAGCCGAAGTGGGAGCATTTGGTAATTTTAGGGTGCAAATGTAATCCTTTTCTTTTCTGCATCCTGTCCAATCTACAGTACGAATAAAGCTTTTTATCAATGTCCAAACAGTTGCGATTGATTAGAACCAATGGATAAGGCATTGGCACCTAAAATTTCAGCCCTTATCAATATCATTCATACAATAGGCTACATTGTGTGTTCCCTAGATTTTGTGGAAATTTCAAGTTCAAGAGAATGCATGTCTAACCTTTTAGGTTATCTCTGCCTCTCCAAACAACAAAGAAAGTGAATTTACTTTTGATAAAATGTTACAGAATACCTGATTATACCGTAGTGGGTTCAATTGAGAGGTGCCGTTGGGGCGATATATTACTTCTATAGAAAAGTCATCAACATAGAGAGAAAGGTCTACATGGATAGATCGGAAATGGGCCAAGCTCGTGAAAGAATGGAGTTCCCTCTGCAGTGTTTCATCTGCTTTGTGGACTTTTTTTAGTGTTTGATTTGATATCTAAATCTGTTTTATGTCTTTTAATTAAAATTCTGTTGTGTGTTCCCCGACTGACCTCCTCCATTTACTCTGTTTAGCTGAGGCGGGTTCGAAAGAAATAAACTTTTCCGAGGTCAGGGTAGCTGCACTAGAGGTCACTTTACAAAACATATCCCCAAGTCTACTTCAAACAATACCCCATAACTGGAACGTTTACACATTGTAATGATGCCAGGCAGGAGAAATTTACGACCTGCGTGAATGCCTGTATTGTTGTCTGGGCACATTGTAATCACATAACAGCCTCCTTCTTTTGTTTTACGTGGGCTTAGCAAGGTCCCGTGAACAAATATGGCAATCACTTGTGTTAAATTTCATATTAGGGTCCTTCGGAACAAAAAATGAATATTGGATTTGTTGTATCGGCCATCGGAACAATTCTTGTGATTGTTGGCCCTTTGAACAATGAGTTATCAATACACTGCAGCTGAAAATGTTTTTTAATTCGTGGTAATTTTTTAAACAGTTTTGTTTAAACAATAGAAGTTTACAGAAGGAAACAGTATTTCCTTTATATTCTGTTACAATGTGAATTGCATTCAAACTTTTAATGGCCATTGTGATTTCAAGTATGCTGCACAAGTGCAGGTGCAGAAAAACACTGATGCTTTTTTGTTTTTTGTATGCTTATGTGGCATTCCAAATATATTAGCTAAACAATCGAGTGAAAAAAATCCTTAAAAGAAAAGGCACTGTTTTATGATTAACCCGAATGACAATTGACCTGGAAGATCTTTCACTACTGTTCTATCAAAATAGCACTGGTGTTGAGAAGAAACTTTTTTTTCTAGTGAATGCTTTAGGTGTTATAAGGAGACCAAAAGTATCAAATTAATATATGATAATGACTACTCCTCCCCCCCCCCCCCAAAAAAAAAAAATAAATAAAGTTTAGGTAGAAATTGTTGATAAAGGTAACATATAAATGTTTTTTTTTTCTATTTTAATAAAATAATTAATGAAAGTTTTTAAAATTTTTTTTTTTTTTAAATCAAATATTTTTTTATTCATTGAAAACCTGGAAGAAAAATTATCTCTTTTATGGTTTCATAACTAGATGTATTTAAATGAACAAGATGCCTGGGGGTTCCCCAGCCTGTAGATTGGTAGATCTCACTCTTGTAGAAAGTGGCCCCTTCTGGTGGTGATCAGTGATCCATTATGTTCCTTAATCCAAAAAGTACTTCCTAGTCCTCTCATGAAAATCTCAATGGAAAGTCCAAAGATAATTAAATATTACACAGCCACTTCAAAAACTGGGCACATTGAGGAAAATGCATTAAATATTTTTTCAATTATTTTGACATATGTAATGATTTTCAAAAGTTTTCATGGTTCAAGTTTCAAGTTTTATTTTTTTAGTTCTTTTTTTGGTTACAAGTCTGGTAAATTATACACGATGTTATATCTAAGGATATCTTTGGTGGAAATTTTTGATTTCGCTAAGGAGGGGGAAATGACTTCTCTTAAAAGACCTGCAAGGTATCGGGTTTTAACTGATGTATTGCTTTACTGGTTGATGATAGGGTACACAAGGTTGCTCAAGTTCGACTGTCACATAATCTGAAGAACGGAGTTAGGCTGACAACTTGAGAACAATGCGGGGCGGGTAATTGGGCAGTAGGGTGCCTTGTTTAGGAATATCATGAAGGTGGGCAGGCAACAATAGACCAGATAACAATAGCATCTTGTGGTCCAAACAATACACAATGTGTACCCATACTGCGCTGAAAAAAAGGCCAAGACAATCCTAGTCCTTTCAGTAAATGCAACAAGTACAATGAGGTTGGATGATACCATTAGTGTTCAGAACAAGGGGAAAAAAATAGAAAACTTTTTTTTGTGTGAAGGAAACAATAAATTTTATCCCCAGTGTCCTGTTGACCCCCTTGATTGAAGAGATTTTTTGATTAGGTCCCCCTATTGTATACAGTGTGCTTCAGCCTTGGATGAAGTAGAAACCTTAACAAGGAAGGCGAAAACAATGAGGATACGGGAAAAGTGATACTCCAAATAGCCATTGTTATACGCAGCACAATCATCATGGAGATGCAATATTTAACAGCTTTTTTTCATTCGCTTTTGAAATTTTAGTTTCAAAAACTAGGGGGTTTTATTTCTCAAGTTGTTTTTTGGGAGTGTGACAAATTGCTGCAATGTTGAGTAAGTACAGAAACTTTAAATTTCACATCTTTTTCTCATGGTTACATCATATTGTAAAATTTATACTAATAAAAATTACAAAGATTAACACTTTAAATTATAATTATATCTTGTTTCAGAAATTGTTTAAATTTAAGATTGAACATTTGTAAGCTTTTGTAAAATTTAGATTTAATTTATGGCTAGGGTAAGTGCATGATTTTAATTTTATTTGCCAGGAAAGCAATGGACAATATATGTAACTTTTTTTTTAAAGCGTATGGTTTTCTCAAATTATTTCTGAGATTATGAAAACCTGTTCCAGGGAATTAGCCAATGAACTCCATTTGTACCAGAACGTCTTTGGGGGCAGAGGGTACAAAGGCTTATGGTTCCCTCATTATTTTCTTTTCTTGTGCACCCCAAAACTGTTTTTCCTGCCCCAGAACAATAAGAGGACAGGCTTGAAGAGTACTGTCTAACCCACAGAGCCTTTCAGCCCGATGGTTTTGCAATGATTAGGGGGAATTGTTATATTTCTGCCATATGTTTTTCTCACTCTGATGAAGATTAGGTGTAAAGAAGCATGCTATAAGAGAGAAGTCAAGCTATTGTAGCCAAAGCAAATTGTTTGCGGAATGAGCTGGTTTTTTGGTGTTTGTTGAACTGTTAATAATCGGCATAAAACAAAAAAAAAGATTGGTAATCATGAAAGGGGGATTATGGGGATTTCTAATATATTATTGTTTTGTTTCTTCACAGTGGAAAGCGATAAACATGCTGTTTTCTTGTTTCGAGAGAAATATGTTGTTCAACGGAAGTGAATGAGCCATGTAATTTTTTCTGAAAAATTATAATATTTTAAATTTTCGAAATTTTTACTTATTTTTATTTTTTTGCAAATAATATATGAATAAAAATTTACTTTGGAAAAATAAATGTGATAAATGAATTAAATATGAAAGAAGTAGTATGAATTCACGACAGTGACATATTTAATAAATTGTTGGTGTCTAAGAGATCTTATGATAAGTCACACAAAAAAGTAATTGGTTGCCTCTGTGGAGTGGTTATCAAAACTCATAATCAACAATATCTTTGTAATTGGAAAAACAGGAAACCTCCAAAAAGTATATTACTACGAATAATAAGCAACACTTGATGTTTAGCTGTCCTGGGTTACGAGTCCATCAACATACGAAATCAAGAATTAGCGGCATGTGTCTTAAGCAAGTGTTTAATCATTTCCTGCACTTTATCATCTTAAAGAAAAGCATTCTGACGAGCACAAAATAGGGATGAAAAAAGGCCGCAGCAATTATCAGCTAAAAACGTGCTAACGAAAATTCCCCACCTGCAGAAAGTGGTCATATCGCAAAAAAAGAAAGAAAAACTCTTTTTAAAAATCTGAAATGGTGATAAGTATATGCAAAAAGATTGTTTGAAAAAGAAATTTGGTTCCGCTTTCTCATCGAAAGGCTAAAACAAAAGCCACACACACTCTTACTTCGACAATAGCGCGCCAAATTTGATAAGATTATCAAATCTTCTGAAAGATAATGTTATCTTAATGATGTGGAAATATTTGTTCAGATTCAAGAATTCTGTTTTTTCCCATCTCAAATTATTCATAAGGACCAGGTGCATTGTAAGTTGTAATAAGTCAGATTACTTATTATTGAATCTTAGAAGTCTTGTGTTTCTCTCGAGGAGGGATTTTCGAGGGCCGTGTGTAGAACTCAGTTCCGCATCAATGGAGAATGTGATACATTGTGAATTATTTCAGTTTTTCTGCCAAATTGTTTTTCCTCTTAGATCTTCAAATATGAAAAAGTGACATAACAAATTCATTAATTTATGGAAACTGATTGCAAATGAGGCATGAATTGCCCTTGAATCTGTGCAGATATCGTTTTCTATGGCAGGTTTGACACTGGTGAACTCGGCATAACTCATGTTTTATTTTCTTATCATGTTTTCATTTTCAAGCAGTTAAAACAAAAAGTGAGTATAAAGTCACATAATCGACCTTTGGGATGGGAGGTTTTTTTGCTCCTTGCAGAGTTTTCATTGTTTGTTAATGATGGGATCTCAAGGGAAAAAAGATGGTCGATTGTTTTTTAAGACAGGAGTCACTTCTGAGTAATTTATTTGGGTTCATAAATTGTTATTTCTACCAAAACAAAACTCGGAACATATGTTGATAATTTCAAAACCGAAATTTATATTACTACCCTATAAAAATGATAGGGGTATTATTTCTTGTAACCGAAAATTAAAATTGTCAGATTTTGATTGTTTCATTCTGTTGTTCCTGTACTATAGGACAATTTCTATTTTTTTAGTTAATTTCCTGCTTGGGAAATTTTTTAAAATAAGATTTGGAGACTAATGAAAAAGAAAATTACGAGCATTTTAAATGGCTATGAATTCATATGTTGTTAATGGGAACAGGAAATCTTAAGTACAATTAACTCAAACTTGTTCTTTGTTCAGATGATTTCGCCTATCATAATTCAAGAGAGAAAATAAAAAAGTATTTACACTGAATACACTTTAAACATACTCGCTAAATATATATGAACTCGATGAAAGAACAGAATGAGCTTGGAGTCTATTTCTTTTTACTACGTTTTTAACTATTCATCAGCAGAATTAATTTGCCCTGTGTCTTTGATGCTGACTAAACTACACCGTGACTGCTAATCAATTTCTGGTGGCATTGTGAAAATAATGAATTATAAAGCCGGCAAATTCACAACTAGCAGGTGTTAGGTGGGGAGCGGGGGTCTCTTGAAAGAATTCAACTTGCCACAGTCACAGCCCTTCAAAATATTAACAACATGTGAAGTTAATAATAATTTCATCAAGCCCTGGACTACACAATCCATGCAGTGTCTTAATGTGCTCTTATAATTATCCCTAGAACAAAGCAGAAAGGTCTCAAAGCATGTGGAGAGAATTTTTCAGAAAATTGCCTCCAGATTTGTAGAATTTGAAGAAAAAGCCATTGTTGATATTGTTTTCACTCAGTTCAGGCATATTATATCCCCGAGTCTGAAGATTGCTTTCGTTTCTTCGGATGCGCAGGCCTGCAGTGAATTTTCATTTCTTGGGAATTAGAATAGCATGTTTTGAAGTCGTAATAGATCTTTTATTGGTCATGTTTATTTCATTGCTTTGTTATGATAAATATTTCAAAATTTATTTTTCACATTTATTTACATTTCTGATCAAATATTTCTATGCCTTTTCTTAAGTATGATTCAGAAATAATGATTCCATATTAATGGGGAAAATATTTTTATAAATAGTTACATATCTGCAAAAATTTGATAAGTTTCTAAAATATATTTCAATTGTTTGAGCCCATTATTGATAAATTATGTTGCGATTCGGAAAAAAATTGGAACAAAACTTTGTTAGACAGGATGTGTCAAGATAAACGTTAAACTCTCTTTGTCTTTTATTACCGTTTCGAACAACAAAATAATTGTCTTATCGTTCACTATTTTCAGCGGAAAGATACCCTTAATGACAGTGAAACTTACTGAAAATAAACATGTAAAATACAGATTTTATACCGATTTCAAACAACGAGTCCCTGTTCTATTTTGAACTTTTTTTTAAAAAGAAGGGGGAAGGAAAAAGATATTGTCAGTTGCCTTTTGTCTGTCTGCAGGAGATAGCAGATGAAAAAATTGATTATACTTATTTGAGGAATTCTTGTAAAACAAAACAACAAGTCAGATATTATCTCCATCAACAAGGGGAAAAAAGGGCTTAGTTTTATCGCATAAATTTTATAAGATGTTTGTGAATTCTGTCGTGGAAAGTCCTGACCCCATTGTTGCTGATATCAAAGCCGCGATAAACTTCACAAGTGAAATGATGTGATGTTGACTTTGAAAAGAAGCGGCTTTTTTTTTCCTTTTCAATCTCATTTTTTCCCATCTTTCAATCATAAATCAGTTGTCTGTAAAATTGAAAAGATAGATATGCATAAGAAAAGTCCCCCTGTATATTGTTGCAAAGGAGCTCCCTGCTGTGGCCAATCTTAGGAGCCAAGGCACTGATGTGTGGAAATATGGCATAAGTTGAATTTCTTGAATGGTTAACATTGGTCCCTTCAGCACTTTGCTATAATTCTTACCACAATTAGATTAGTATCAAAGCATTTGATGTGTGCTGCAATTGAATGTCTCAGATTTTTGGCTGAGATGTGGAATGTCCTATAGAGAGAAGTTAGAGAGAGAAAAGTCACTGCTCAAAGGTACACAGAAAAGTCATCAATTTTAGCCTTGTTAATCATTCACCATTTATAACTATCTCTTTCAACTTTGAACTTTTAAAGACACTTTTTTTAAAAAAAAAAAGTAAAATTAAATTTAGAATAATTGTTTTTTTGATAAAATTTTCATTGAGAAAACTTGCTGTAAATGTGAAATAATTCTGAATGGATTATATTTGGTTAAGAGAAGCAAATCCTGCCAATATCAATTTGTCTGTAGATTAAGAATGATATGAAAACGCAGTAAAGGGATAGAAATCCAGCATTTAATTGGCAAAGAAGAGAGATAGTTCTAGCAGATTTTTTTTCTTTCAAAAATTATTGAGATTCAGAATCTAGTGTAGCGGATGGTGTCTCCTGATTACAGACAAGGTATAAATCTTCTGACAATTTTTTACGAGGGTACTTACTTGCAGTCCTTCAGCTTCTCAAAATTATCTGCTAAAATATCACTTGCATAATTTTATGATCCCCAAATTCTTGTGATCAAGATGAAAAGAAAAAGCATATTTTTACGATAAAAATTTCTCTTTTTACCCCAACTTGCATTTTATCATATTACATAGAGAATTACATTAAAATTTCATTTTGAGGCCCATAAACAGACTTTTTTGACTGTTGATAAAAGTGGATGTGATTTTTTGGCGGTATGCTGAGAATAAATTGGATTGACTGTAATGATTCCTTTATGACTGAGAGCCGGGGAGTTATAGACAAGAGTTATTTCCCTTTCTGACACAGTGTGGAGATTGAGTGATGGAGCGAGAGAGGTCAAGTTAACACTTCAACACAGACAGAAATAAATTGTTTTTTCCTCTCTTCTACAAATGGTGCAGGAGATCGCTCTCTGATACCAATCACAATTGCTGGTATTCACACCCAAAATCTGAGCAGAAAATCATCATGTTTTTGCTGGCCCTAATTACGACTAGCTTGTCATTTCTTACAGTAGATAACAGTGTATGTGTGTGTGATGCTTCCTGCCTTCAGTAGAGTCATCATGGTTTAATGTAGCAACTGCTATGTTCCATACCCCTAATCCCCAGAATCTTATCTGAAAAGTTAAAATAAAAATGAGTAATCTTTGTCGACTGGCTTTTTATTGTGGCTGAAGCTGTCATAAGTTTTCTGGGAAAATCTTTTGTAGCAATGCACATTTCTCTTCCTCAATATTTCAAGTTCAGTGGCAAGAATAGATAATAACAATACGGTTTTCTGGTAGGCCCTCGCTTCTAAGTGGCCACTTGCAAGGTGTTGATATTGTATGATAACAGACCACACACTAAATAGAAACCATTATGTCTCTTCAAAAAGGAAGGAAATGCCCTTTGTTTTCATATAGTAAAATTTGACAAAAGATATTTTATGTCAATGCAGAATACATCTCATACTTAAGCAGGACAAATAAAATTGTTTGACTTTTGTTGATAAGTGTTTTTTATTTCATTTTTTTGCAGTATCTGGCAGTGAAACAAGCATCTCTCATGCATCTTCCAAAAGCTCATCTCCCATCAACATGGACAGCCGACCACAACAGTTATCTCCAGTTCTCTCCCCTTACCACCACGGTTCACCTCGATCTCAGCCCTCGCCCAAAGTCAGAAAGGGGAGCCCTCCAGCCGCCACCTCCCCACACAGCTGGGGTGGGGCCATGAATCAGGAAATCCCTCTCAACCTGACCAAACCCAGAGGGTACAAACTAGAGAAAGCGGAAGAGATGTACGGATCACCGGAAAAACATGAAGGGAACAACAGGACGCCACCTCCAGCCCATATCCACCACAAGAGACAGGTGGCGTCCCCAGTCACCACCCCAACCACAGAGATTGGACCATTCCCAGGTGTACGGCTGCCACTTGGATTTCCACAGTATCCATTCATGATGGCCAATCCTATGGTCACCTCAATGCTGAGTGGAATGACACCACCAGGACTGATGAATGGAAAATCTCATCCAGATCATGACAAGGTAATGCTGGACTTATCAAATTTTTTGCAAAAAAGAAACTTTGAAAATTGATAAAGTTAACAATTTTAGAGTTGATTTTTTTGGTACTGTGATGCAACAGTCATAAAAAGAGATAGTCAAGAAGTACACAAGTATTGGTTGAATGTAGTCTTATTCTGAAGTTCCCCCTTTGTTTTACAGGAGTCGATGGTTCAGGAGGTGTTGGCCCGTCAGCTGTCTCACTCTATGACCAGCCCTGTGTTCCCAGGGCTCCCCCTACCCCTCTACTCCCATGCAGCCATGACCTCCCTCCCCCCAATGTCAGCCATGAAGGAACGGTCAGACAGCTCGGTAGAGGACAGCCAATCAGGTGGGAGATGTATAACAAGTCGTTTCTACTGTGATCAATTAAAAAGGATCCTCTAATTTATTATAGAGTGTGATATTTCTTTTACATGGATCGATTATTTTCTTTATCAGGAAAAATGTATGGTGCTAAAATTATCCGTTCCCAGAAGGAGAAGAATGAAGTAGGTAAACCCCATATAAAGAGACCCATGAATGCATTTATGGTTTGGGCCAGGGAGGAAAGAAGGAAGATCCTAAAAGCCTGTCCAGATATGCACAACTCAAACATTAGCAAAATCTTAGGTAAGCTAAAATTAAAAAGAAGAATGGTATAAGGGAGATAACTGGAGATGTGGAAATTTATTGAATCTTGTGTTGTATGGATTTTTCATTTTTCCTATTTTCTTGAAGGTGCCAAATGGAAAGCCATGACCAATGCAGAGAAGCAGCCATACTATGAGGAACAAAGTCGCCTCAGTAAACTTCACATGGAAAAACATCCTGATTACCGCTACAGGCAAGTTAAAATTTCACAAATTAAAATAATACTTTCCAAGTGCCACACTTAACAGACTAGATTTTCAAAACTCTCTGTCTGAAAGTGTTCCGTGTTGATGACACAGTCATTTGAATTTTAATTATTTTTATTTTAATTATAGGCCTCGACCAAAGAGGACTTGTATTGTGGATGGCAAAAAGCTTCGCATCTCGGAGTATAAAGCCCTGATGAGGACGAGAAGGCAAGATATCCGAAGAGTTTGGTATGGTGACTCCCACACCACTTACGTTGAGGGACTCATCGGTGAGTATCGATCAGAAGTGTTCTGTAAAGTGCAAAATATCAGAGTTACCAAAAAATTAATTATCAGGCTCACACGTACCATGGTTCTTGTAACCTTTTCAGTTTTTTGACCGAAATTTTTACTTCAAAGTTCAAAATGATCATTAAATTTTATTATCATGATTGATTTGTGGACAATACTGTTCATCACCAAAACATTATGTTAAAAGTGTATAATTATCAAAATTATCAGTATAATTGCAAACCATTTAGTATAGGCTGAATGCTTACTTCACAAGAATGGATTTTATGAAGCTTGTGGAGTACTTGACCAATATGCCACTTAACGTGAACTGTTATTTTGATTTAGGTGAGAATGGTTCTTCCTCATCCTTTGATCCATCTCGACCCCCTCTCCACCCTAATGGAATTCACTCCAGTGTAGACAGTTCAGGGGTCAACGGGGCGTCTCATCATGGCTTCCCTAGCAACAAGGAAGATGACCTTGACAACTGCAGTGACGAGGAGCTCAGTGACATGATGGACCAATCCTCGGACAACAGTCTCGATTCCGCGCCTTACTCTAATCACGTTTCCAACGCCAGCATTGGTCATCCTCACGCGGCAATGTCATAGTCTGCACAACCTCCAGGAGGAACATGAGAAGGCAAAATAAAAAATGGCAGCATTTCTCAAACTTTGTTCATATGTGATGCCGTTTGTATGTTTGTTATACTGTGTACATAGGGACGCTATCCAGCGAGACTTTGAACAAGAAATGTCCAGACATTTTAAACAAACGTCTCTCCATTTTTGAGAGAGATGGCATGTATCCATGTGCACACATCTACGCAAATTTATGTAATGCATGTTTATGCAAGTCAGAATCAGCACAGTTTGGTGCTTGAAAGAAATACTGCAAGTAAAATGTGTATAGATAGTTAAAGTATCGGTGTAAAATTATATGTTAATTTTGTTATGTTTTGCCGGTTCCTTAGACAAAGTACAGGGTTTAAATTGAATGCTAGAAGAATGTACTCACATATTGTTGTTGTGTAATTAGTGCTGACCGTTTGTACAAATTAGCAATGACAGCTTCACGCGCTAAATATAGAGGATGTGCTTGGTTCTTGTATAGGATAAAGGTTGCTATGACGACGTCCACAGTTGGGACAATTATTTTGTATACTATAATGTTATTAATTATTATTAATGTTAGATATTTTTTATTCTATTATTAATGTGTTATATATATATTTACTTATATACATATGAAATATAGTCATGGAAGAGAATAGAATTCAGGACCAAAACCATCATGTTCATGCACTGCCTATTAACTGCTTATTCACATATTCAGGGTCCAATTTATTTTATTGTCATCCATTCTTTTTTTTTCTCTTGTCTTATTTTTTCCCCTTCACCAGGGCGTGTTGTAGACACAATGTAGAATTCCTGACGTCATTTTGTTCATGTTTCCTTGAGAAGGTGCATTTTTCATATGCCAGGACATTATACCTATTGTTCAGTTAACTTGTTTTTCTGCATCTTTTGTTAGACATCTGTCCCCCTTTTTATGAAAATAAATTTGTTATAGGACCTAAGTTTTCAGTTTTGATTTTTTTTTTCTTTTTTGTTCTATTTTTTCCCTTTTGTACTTTAAACACAAAAACAGCATTCAAGTTGTGGTATTGGAAATTGCATATGCATTTTTTAGAAATTGAAATGAGATTTCAAATGTTTTATCATCGACAGACATTTGAAGGTTAAGTCCATTTTATTATAAATCTTACCATCTTTAAGTGTCAACGAATTGTTTGTGCTGTATTTTAACTGGCATAAAAGGACATGCAAATTAATTCGGGAGCCTACCCACGTCAGAAAAAAGACGCAAGTAATAATTTTTTTTATGTGCCATTTTGTTTGGGCTTCCTTTTTCAAAGCATACAGACTTTTGTAAACACATTACAGGAATACTGTTAATAACTAAGGCTGAACACACATTAACAATGATTTATTAAGCTTGAAATCCTTGATTTGGATAAAGAGAAGAATAGTGTTAATCCTCCTGATTTCTTCACAAAGTTAAGGAATATGCCCCTGTCAATTCGACCCATTGTCAGAAGTAAAGGCTATTAAGATGTCTTGATGAAGTGGGTTGGTGGGATAATAAAGAAGTTGATTAAATTGATTGACTTTTGGCAGACTCAGATTTTACTCTTTAACTTCCTAATGTACTTCTTTAGTCCCCAGTCAATCCCCCTCTCTCTTTTTTTTGTTATGTGTACTTTAGGTGTAATTTTCCCTGCTGACAAAAAAACTTTTATTATTACTCAGAGAAAGGGATTGTTGACTTTTATTGATGTATTTAAACATTCATATTTGCTCATCAGCTGCCATAATACAAAGGAATATACAGCTTGTAGAAATTCTTATTTTTATAGTTTCAAATTGCGTTCATTTTAAAAATATTTTTTTTTAATCTTTCAAATAACTTAATTTAGTTTATTTGGTCATTCAGTTAATTTGTAGATACATGTATTTAAATCTTGCTAATATATTTATTTGTAAACACAATCCAAATTTAAAAAATGAAAAAAATTTAAAACCCATTTGAAGATGGAACTAACACAGAGTAACTTGACCAACAATGATATAATGTGCCAATATTTGTTTTATGTTGTAGAATTTATTTCTTGTGTATTATATTTTTTTTTGTATTGTAAAGTCACATGACATGTCTCTTGAAGTCACATGACACAAGTAGTCTTCCAATGAAATCTGAGAATGTACCCTAATGAATATGCATGATTTGTCTCGGAGATACCTGCTGATTGAAGGAGTGCATCCTTTATGTAGCCCCAATAGTGTTCATTACAGTCCAATGGATAGAAATCCTCTTTACTAAGAAATATATGATTGAAACAAAACTTAAATTATTAATTGCTACACACAAGGCTATTTTCTTTAAATTGGTTATGTTTGATTTTGTTTTTTGTTTTTTTATTGAAGAAAATTGTTGACAGAAGTTTTGAAAATTTTTGAAATTTCTTTTTTTGGAGTATTTTTTTTTTTAAAGTTGTAGATTAATTGGTACATATTTACTGCAGGGGGTCGAACTCTCATGAAGTGCTTGTTTTATGCTAGTCAATTAAGAAAGTAGTTAATTGTTCTCATATGGGATGGAGACTGGTGTGGCTTAAATTCCTTAAAAAAATAAATAAAAACTGATCTGTATAAGACTTTATAATTGATTATTTTAACTAACTTGATGCTTTGGCCAAATTACATTTGGTCTAGAACATTACTGAACATGATATTCATGGGTAAACTCTTTTATGATTGTGGTAATACTATATATATGTACTCAAAATATTCCTGTAGATGACGGTGACCTTTAAAAAGGTCACAATAACAAATATCTTGTCACCAATGAGGTGCCGTGATAGAAATTTGTTACTGACCAATAATATTCTTTGTTACAAATCTAATGTACAACAGATGAGATGAATACGTCCAATATTTAGCTACTGTAGTTAATAAGTTATAGTTTTGATGATTCTGATTTTATGAATTCAGAGTAATGAAATAAAACTGATTATTAACTTGAATTTTCACTTGAGTTTCTTTGTCATTGGCAAGTGGTGAAAAGTTCTAGGCAGAGAGGATGAAAGTTGGAATCTTGGCTGTTACATACAAGAGGAGACAATATGAAACCCTTGAGTTCACTTTGAAAATAATTATATCCCTTTGTGAAGTCAATCAAAGTTCTTACAAAATTGGTCCTCAGGATTTGGATGCTTCCACAGAAATGGACAAGGATGCACAGCTATTAATGTTGCAGCAGAGAAGTAGCTGCTTTTGATGAGCTTTGATTAGGTTCATCATCATATTAGATTTTGCTTATCAATGATTATCCATAAAAAATCTGATTAATCATTACATGCATTCAATTTGAGCAGACATTAAAAGGCAAAAATTGACAAATAGCTTTTATTTAGAGTTTCTTGAAGAAATCATAGTTACTATCCCAGAAAGAGTTATTGCTCTTTTAAGAGGGTCATGGAACTTTAAATACGGTAGGCTACTACTGGTTCAATTTATGTTAGTGTTGCTCAGAAGAAGTTGTAGATAAAATAATGTTGCAGATATCAAAGCAACACAGTCAGCCGATCAATGATCACGGACATTTGCTGTTTGTTTTGCAAGCTTGAACTTTGTAAAATAATGTACAATCATTTTTTATGGCACTTACAAACAAAAATTAAAGGAATAGAGAGATCAGAAATGCTTATATTCATTGCTTGTGTAAAATTTGTGCTTTGCAAAAGTTGAACCTTACACCAAATATGAAATAAAAACCATTTTACAAAATCAGAAGTTGCAGTAAGGATTAAAATTTTTTCAGAGTGCCCAAAAAAAAAAAATAATTATATCACTGAAAAACTGTTTTATAACTTTTTAGGGATCTGATGAAAGCAATATAGCTCTTCTGATTCCAGAAAAGAAAGAACAAAAAAAGAGCATTATATACTTTGAATTACTATTGAACAGTTACATATCTTAGTGAAAATTGATTTTTCCAGATTTTAAAAAATTCTTTTCAAATATTCTGATCCTCTGATAGTTGATCATTTTCCTGACTACAAGCCAAAGAAAGATAACTCTAATTTGAAATGACAGACAATTGATATCCTTGCACTCCTATTATATTTATATCAAATGCCTGATGGCAAAAGAATGAGTTTGAAATTCATGTTCTGATGTTACGCCTATACATTTAGTATTGTTTAGTATTAGCATGACAATCAGGAGTAAAGTTTTATACACTGTAATTGACATTTTCAGAGTTGATTTATAAAATTGAATATGCATGCAATGAAGTCTAACTATACAACATCCAGTGTAGAGAGAGCTAGATGAATAACTCCACCTTTTCAAATTCATCTCTCTCTGTTCTATCTAGTAGACTCTTTTTGTGGCTACAAGTATTTGAAAATTTGCTTAATTTCCATTAATTTTTCTTGTCTCGTAGACATTTTAACTCACAGACCACAACTACATGTACCAGGTATTTGAATTAATAAGGTTGTACAAATGATATTTCATAAAAATGACAGAGGCAGTGGCAGATTTAAAAGTAAATATGCACCCCCCCCCCCCAAATTGTCAAAGTTAGCGTAAATTATAGTTTTGTTGAGAAAATTTAAAAATATCTATTTGGTAGACCTCATTTTTACCCTACAAAATCTCTAGAATCCAGGAAATTACAGGGGCTAAAACCAGGGCCCCCACCAGGGCTTCGCCCTGTAATCATGGGGGCCACATGTCTCGCCTAAAATATAATTAAAAATTTATGCCCCCACTGACTTCAATTCCTGGGATTTTTTTTTTTTGAGAGGGATATATTTATGGGAAATGAAGGGAATTTATAGCTCTCTCTCTCTCTCTCTCTCTCTCTCTCTCTCTCTCTCTGTAAATGAGAGTTATCTCCCTTTAAAACACACTTGAAGATTTTAAATTTCGCGCGCTCTTGTGATATTTTTATTACCTCCTATTACAGAAGATCATATTAAAGAAAGATGGCGGTGAGCTGCATGGTAAGATTGTAAACAGTGTATTTCGAGAGAGAATTTTACTTTCATTTAGGGGTTTTTTTTAATATATTGAATTATATTTATTAGATAATGTTAAGATTTACAGTATGAATATATATTTTTGGCAAGAAAAGAAAATATGAAGGAAGATAACTCTGAAACATCGAACTGCGATCTCCGACTTTGTTGTTTGCCTTTGAAAACACGTTTTGCTATATGTTCAAGGTCGATATTTAGCGATTTATTATTTTCATTTTTTTAACTATACATTAAGTATTTTTTTTAATTCAACGTGATGTTTTGAAACATGATAAAAACAATGTGTGTTTTATTTTTTTATTCTTACATTTTGATTTCGTTAGTGTGATTATGTGGAAAAGTTACGTAAAACATCCTGTTCCATACTAATGAAGAAATGAAAATTCAGTATTGAAATATTGCTTGTTTAAAATTGCATTTCAGTTCACTGAAAAAGTTTCAGATATATTGAATTTATACATGCTCAAAATCACAGTGTCTGCATAAGTCATAGGCATGGCAGCAGCTTATATGTAATGCTTACTCAGACATTTACTGTTTATTTACAGACATTTACTTGATTTTGCACAATATTGATAACAGAATGAATTATTTTGCTTGTGGACAATTGATTTTTACATCTTTCTGAACAGTGATTCATTCAACTTTACACTTCTAGGCATGTATATTTCCTGTACAAATAGAGGATGTTTGTAAACAAGGAATTATTTACGCATTAGAAGATCATAAAAGATCCTTATTTTTTCCTAGAACCAAATTTTTGTTCTAAATTTAGGCACCCCACTTCATACAATAGATTTAATAAAATCATGTATAATTTAATACTTTAGATTTGACATAGAAAAGATCCCCCCAAAAGATGTAACATAAATATGAGTTGATCAAAACAGTACAGTGATCTACTTGACCTCGTTTTTGGAGGTGTGCCATCTAAGCACAATCTGATTGGTTTATTGTTAAAGGTGTGTTGTTTACTCATTTTGTTCCTTCAATATTATCTTACAGGAAGATTGTAAAACTAAAAATTACTCCATCTCTTATGTTACTATTTTTTCATCATTAATTCATGATGCAAATTTATAAATATTTATTGTATATTCAATACATTTGCATTTTATTAAATTATTTGACTCTAATTTATGATCATCTAGGTTTGTTAAACAGATAAAGTGAACGTTGTGGTTCCATTTCAGTGAATAATCATGATAATTAGTACTTAAGAAAAAATAAAAAGATTGAAAGATGCATGAAATTTGCTTAAATGAAATGATCTATCATATGAAAATAAAACCTTTGAAATTATTCAGTAGCACCTGTGAGATTTCACTTCTTAATAATCTTAGATAAGTAAATAAAGAATGGATATTAATTATATTATTTCTGTTTGCAAAGAAAGTCGTGACATCAAGAAAGAATGAAAATTGTTTACCTTTTGACAAACATGCTTGGTTTTAATGAGTTGCTTGCAAAAAAAATAATTGTGAAAGCAATTCTAAATTTCTATACAAGAACTGCTTGTACATGTAGATTTTCCTTTTAATTAATCTGAAAAATTTGCTTAAATTAGATAGGTCTATATATATCCATTAAAAGAGGAATTTTATGAGTTAAAGCCTATATCAGCTGTATATATTTTACCTTCATTCAGATGATAATAATTTCAAATCATTTAATTTATGTAAATAAAATGAATTTATTTTAATGTTAATGGATACTTATACAACACATTTTCATTCATGGGAATCCAATTACGGTATATATTAAGAATTTTAATGCATTTTCCCTTATAAGAACTGTGTGAAATTACATATGAAATAGATAAAATAGGAACATCTTTATTAAGCTATTACAAAATACAAGTGTCATATTCATTGTAGTAAATGTGTAGAACTTTGAATATAGATTGCTTGATACAGAATAAGAATTTGATCCCTTGGTTTGTGTTTGGACATGATTTTTTTTCCAAAATTAGTTGTTTTCTGTATCTGGCCGTTAGAATTTAGAGCCTTTAGGAGGATGTAAAATTTTGACCTGCTTTGAATTAGTTTTCTCCCTTATTGATTTAAGCTATTTAAAATATTCATGCATGTCAACACTGTTATGTCACATAGAGCCAAAATTGTTTTCTCAAGTACATATTTTTTCATTGATTATTATCAAATCTGTGTTTGCAAGTGCATGCATAATTGCATATATTTTTCAACATGTTTGTTTACATTACATCAAGTGCTTACAGAGTGTAAGATCTTTTGGATAAAAGAGTAGACTTGAAAATTGCATGTATATAATGCTCATGATGTGTCATTGATTATGTCTTTTTTTTTTTACAGAACTTTTTGAAGAATATCCAACCTCTAAAACGATCTCACATCCTGTGCCAATACAGATATGCCTCTTCAAGCACTTTTAAGGTACTAAATCTTTTTCTTCAAGATAGTTCTTTGTCTGCATTAGTGTGTGTTTGAGGGATGAAATAGTCTAAGCTGTATCATTTTTTTTCAGACTAACAAATACTTTGTTCAATAGATTTTACAATTCTTTTTTTTTTTTGTTAGGCTTCGGATCTGCAAGTACAGTTGACCACTTCCCCTAAGCCGAAACCCAGTGACCCTGACACCTTGCCCTTTGGTCACAACTTTAGTGACCACATGCTGGAAGTCCCCTGGTCAGCTGATAAAGGATGGGGGAAGCCTCTGATATCCCCCCTCCACAACCTCTCCCTCCACCCCGGGGCCAAGTGCTTCCATTACGCAACAGAGGTAAAACATGACATCCTAACTTTGTCATGTATCTTCAATCTTGATCATTGAAATGTAATTTTGTATAGCGTAAGTAGGACAAAGAAATTCAGCTGTTGAAAGATAATGGAGCAAAAATTATCAATGTTCAAGCCAATTAATGTTCTGTTAATGTGGAAATGTTTGTGAAAGGGTAAGTTTTGTGAATTTTTCCCTTTAAGAGAATGTGCAAAATCAAGCTCCATGTGCAGTGTTCTATCCATCAAAACATTTTATGAATTGAATTATTCAGAGAACATTTTGCTTGGAAATTGATTTTGTGTATGGTAAGTTAAAAATCATATTACATGTATATATGATAAATTAAGATTTTCACTAATGTGTATTTTTGCCCAAAATAACTCCATTGGCAAACAGGAAGTTTGGTATAGGAGTGAAACGGTTCACCGCAGTATCGATTCACGGCAGTATTTTTTCTTGGTTTGGTACGCAGTACAAAATCTCCATTCTCAGTTCAGTTCGTTTTTTGGTCGGGATCTTCATTTAATCGGGTTCGGCATAAGGTATAAACATGCTCCTCTGTATAATTAGTTCAAAAAACATAAATTTTTTTGGACTGATAGTTTGTAAAATAATTTATAACAGCCAAATCAATTAAATTGATTCCTTCTACCAATTTTGCACATAAATTATTTGACTAGATTAAGTAAAAGGAAGCATAAAACAACGTTCGAATTGTTTTCCTTCTATCAAAATGTATGTATCGAAACAAACTGAACCGAGACCAAATTTTACGATACGCATCAAACCGTGAAGGAGGTGTATTGTTTCACCCCTAGTTTGATATAAAGCAAAAAGATGCAAAACTACTCTTGAAATATTTTCACATTTACAGTTTGTTTCAGAATAAGAGGGGGGGGGGGGGGTTAGAGAGAGATGTAAAATATTTTAACCCTATTGAAGTCTTATGATTGGTTAATTTTTCATGGAAATCTCGATGTTTGTATATTCAGTTGTTTGAAGGAATGAAGGCCTACAGGACTGCCGAGGGAAAAGTGAATCTCTTCAGACCTACTGAGAACATGGCCAGGATGCTTAGCTCAGCCCAAAGAGCATCACTGCCGGTAAGAATTAAAACACAGCTGATGTTCCTTAGTAGAGGTGCAGTGTGAGACTTTGATCAGTTTTGATATGTGTAGACTTAAATGTGAAAGTTACTTATCAATAGAATAAAGGAAAACAATAGTTTTCTTTTAATTTTTTTAAAAGTAATTTTTCTAAGAAGAAAAATATAAATTCTGAAAACTATAAGTAATTTTTATAAGAAGAAAAATAAAAATTCTTAAAGATAAATACTATATTGCTGATGTTTTCATTAAAAAAATTAAAAAAACCATGTTTAAAAAAAATGTTCAAAAAATGTTTCAAATAAGACTGTTTGTCTTTCAGACTTTTGATGGTGATGAACTCATAACATGTATTAAGAAGTTGATCAGTATTGATAAAGACTGGGTGCCTCACTCAGATAAGGCCTCCCTCTATATCAGACCCACACTGATAGGAACAGAGGTAAATTCTCACCAGTAATGGAGCAAAAGAAAAAAGGCATTAAACCATTTCTTGGTTTTTTATGTTTATCTATATATTTTTTTAAATAATGTATAGTGTTGTAATTTTACAACTATCTTGTTCCCTCTCGGGAAAATTTGTCTCATCTCACTTTTGCTATGGTAGACTGATTTTTAAGAAATATTTTTAAATTTTTCAATTTTCTTTTGATGAATTTTAAGATTTTTAAACTTAAGCATGTTTTTTAATAAATCTTCTGTTAAAACAGGGTGTGTTGCGTGTGGACACCTCACATGAAGCTCTGCTGTTTGTTTTGATTGGACCAGTGGGATGTTACTATCCCACAGGACTCAAACCTGTGTCCCTGCTAGCTGATCCCAAGTATGTCAGGGCATGGCCAGGGGGCAGCGGCAGCTTCAAACTGGGATGGTGGGTACACTGTACAGACAGAATTACTGTATACAGTGAAATTTTCACCCCAGGTTTATTTTCACCATTGACACAAGTAGGCAAATTTAAAATGGGGCGAATTCAAAGAACACAGTATAATTTCTTAAACAGAACTGTAACTGGGCAAATTTAAAACGGGGCAGAATTGTCAGCAAGTGGAAAAGAGCAAAAATAACCCTGTATACAGTATTCTCTGATTTTTAACTTATTGACTATTAATCAAGTTGCATTTCAATGAATAACATATTTTTCATTAACTGATCATTATTTTAAATTATTCTTCAGCTATTTCTGTTCATTTCATTTATTTTTTCTATAGGACCTTAATTCTGTAAAATCACAAGTTTTGTTCATTCGGTGGGTAGCAAAAAATATCTGAGATTTTGGATTGTCATTGTTTGTCTTTAATTCACAATCATTTTGATGTGGAAAATTTGTGACTACAAACATAGTGTAAGATAATACCACACGGAAAAAAAAGTACATCTACACTATTAGAGATACCTACATTTATAATAAGTATATAACATTAAGAAACCATCTGTTTACTGATTAGCAGTGTATAAACAATGTTTAGAAGAAGAATCCACTGTTTTCATAGGTACCATTAGCAAGTACAGAATATTAATTTTCATGTAAGAAAAAGTTGAAGAAGTTCATTCAAAAACCAAATACTATGATAAAATGTCACTAACAACTTCTGAATCTGATTATGATGTTATTTTTATGCTGTTATTTTTAGTAATTATGCCCCCACCATGAGCATTCAACAAGAGGCTGCCTCTAAGGGTTGTCAGCAGGTATTATGGTTGTTTGGGCAGGAGGAGCAGATCACAGAAGTGGGGGCCATGAACCTATTTATGTATTGGACCAATGAAAATGGAGGTGTGGTCTTCATCTGTCAATCTTTTTTATGCCTCCCTTCGAAGAAGGGAGGGCATATTGCTTTGCTGCTGTCCGTCGGTCTGTCGGTCCACTTAGTTTCCGTTCATTTTCTTCACAACCGTTGCACATACTGAAATGAAATTTGGTATACAGATTTATCAGATGAATACCTAGGCCAAGTTCTGTTTTGGGTACGATCGTGCCATTTTTTACAGAGTTATGCCCTTTGGACTTAGAAAAAATCCAATTATAATCTAAACATTTGTCCTTAAGGAGATATGAGTGGACATGTATCCAGTTAAAGATAATTAATGAGCTTAGTGTGGGAAGTTAGGCATCTCTGATCATGTGTTATCTTTATCTCCTGAGAATTCGATAACAGAAGGAAAGATCTCTCTTCTCTAATTCTCTTAATTGTAATTTATTGCTTGTCAAAACATTTACATGTATTTACCAGCCTTTTTATGCCCCCCCTTCAAAGAAGGGAGGGCATATATTGCTTTGCTGCTGTCTGTTGGTCCATTTAAGTAAATTAAAAAAAAAAACTAAGTCTTTTAAATTTTAAATTTCATAATCCTAAAAAATGTAAAAATATAGTTGTATCCTTATTCAAAAAATGTTAAATTAAGTAAAAACTTATTTTTTCATAATCATATACTTTACAGCAATCTGTAACAAATATAATGTTTTGAGAGGAATTCAGTTTGTCCCATGGGCATAATTATCAAGCACTGGTCAAGAAGAATTTTGATAGCAGAAATTTGCAGGTCAAATCAGAGAAATTAATGAGTTTATTGTTTGGAGCTAATTGGTAGTCTAAAGCCAGAGCATCTCTAGATATGATCATCTTAATTTATCTCTTGGGAGTTGGGTAAAAAGAAATGGCCTCATAGTTGCTTGTGTTAATTAAGAGTTCTTGATGGCTATAGTTCAGATAAAGATCTTTCAATTGGTGTAGTGTAATTAAAATAAATTGATGTTTTAGTGTATGATTAAAACTAAATTATTATTGTATAATATAATGAAAACTAATTATGCCCTCCTTTGAAGGAGGGAGGGCATATTGCTTTGCTGCTGTCTGTCGGTATGTTGGTCTGTCGGTCCACTTAGTTTCCAGTCATTTTCTTTGCAACCGTTGCACATACTGAAATGAAATTTGATATACAGATATATCAGATTAATATCTAGGTCAAGTTCATTTTGGGTACAATCGCATCATTTTTACAGGGTTATGTTCCTTAGACTTAGAAAAATTCCTGTTATTTGCAGTTTCTGTTCATTTTCTTTGCAACCGTTGCGCATACTGAAATGAAATTAAGCATACAGATTTATCTTAGATATCTAGGTCAAGTTCTGGTTTGGGTACGATTGCACCATTTTTGACAGAGTTATGCCCCTTTGACTTTGTAAAAATTTCAAATTATTTGCAGTTTCCTTTCATTTTCTTTGCAGAGGTTGCACATACTGAAATGAAATTTGGTATACAAATGTATCAGATAAATATTTTGGTCAAGTTCTGTTTTGTGTATGATCGTGCCATTTTTGACAGAGTTATGCCCTTTGGACTTGTAAAAATTCCAATTTGGGGAGAGGGGGGCATAAGTGTTTTACAAACATCTCTTGTTTCATTCATTATTGCATACATGTACCCAAAATCAGAGGTAGTCTGGAATGCGATTTTAGAATATGATGAAAAAATTTCATATTTGAAATTATCTTGAGTAGATTCCACATAAGTAGCATGTGAATCTTTCTCTCATTACTAGTAACTATTCCAGTTTCATAGTTGTATAGTTGTGGCATCATCATGGCATGATGATTATTATTAAATTTTTTTTTTTGCAAACATTTGAGCCACAGAATTTTGCGAAACTGGAAACATTTAGACAAGATTCATTAATTTATCCTTGTTAGAATGTGAAGATTTTACCTATACTTAATAAAGTAACTAATGCTGACAAACTTTTGTTTTGACAGAGGATGAGCTGGTGACCTGTCCGTTAAATGGTCTGGTGTTACCAGGGATTACCAGGAAAAGTCTACTGGAGCTGGCAAGATCCTGGGTAATCAAAATCAAACTCATTAAAACATACAATCAGTTCTTTAATACATGCTTTAATAGAGTTGTATATTTTTGTACTTAAAACACTGGTATTATATCAGTATATTTGAACATATTTTTTAAGAAAACCAATTGGTTAAGATTTTTATGTGGGGCATACATTTGTTCATGTATCTTAATTTTTTTTTCAGGGAGAGTTTAAGGTTTCTGAACGAGAGTATACTATGCAAGATTTAGTCAAAGGATTGAAAGAAAACAGGGTGAGAGAGGTTTTTACTTATTCACAGCATCTGTCATTTGTGAATAGATGACCAGTTTATGATAACACATTATTATTCATGCTGATGTATCTTAAAAATTTGGATATAAAATGCAAAAAGTGATAAACTCTGCAATTTTTATGGTAAAAGTATATTATTTTATAATATTTTTAATATTTATTGTATTTGTTTCAGAATTTTAATCATTATGTACATTGATGTGTTACTTTTCTCTTGATGAAAGAGTTTTTTTTTGGGGGGGGGGGACTGCCTGTGTCAATTATCATGATACTAATTCTTTGTTTTGATTGACAGGTGAAGGAGTTCTTTGGGGCAGGGACTGCCTGTGTTGTGTGTCCTGTGGAGAAGGTTTTGTACAGATCCCAGTGGTTAAACATCCCCACCATGTCTCAAGGTGCCCCCCTAACGATGAGAATGTACAAAACTCTGCTAGATATTCAGGTATTGTGTTAATTTGTTGGAAGTGATCCACTTTTTATCTAAAAACTAATTTTGGCAGTACATTGCCTTTTCCAAATACACCAAACACATAAAAATATATTGAATAATGACAAAACAATTATTTAGTTTGACGGAGGAAGGAAAATTACAAGATGAGATCAGTGCCGTTTTGTAGACCATCGTTTCTATCTAAAATGGAAAAAAAAATCTTTCTTTTTCTAATTTCAGTATGGAAGGGTGAAGCATGAATGGTCAGTCTCGGTTGAGTAAAGGACTACAGTGTATCTGATATATCGAAAAGATTTCTTAGACAATAAGGAGAGATTAGTCACAGACGGTATTTCTCTTGACGGATACTTATCACCGCTTACAAATGGCTTTTTATCTCAGGAACACTTTTATTAATGAAATAATTCTATATCCTGGAACTCATGTTAAATTATTTGGAATTTTTTTTATTTGTTTAATGATTTTTTGGAGTGAGATTTTTGTTGCTGGTAAATTGTCTCAAAAATAATTACACATGTACTTAATTGTAGCAATATTTGATGTTTACAGTTTAGTTAAGGATGACAATATGATCAAGTGTTATCTGTGATATTTTTTATTTTTTTGTTGTTAAAGTATGCTAACAATATCTTGTTTTTTTTTTAACATGGTGTGCACTATTAGCTATATATTTTTACAAATAATAGAGAACAAAACATATGTTTATTAATGAACATAAAACACCCAGTGCTATATTGTGAAGTACTTAATCTTTGTGTGTGATTTTGTAATTGTTGTTCTGTATGGAGGGATAATTGCAATTTCTGATGATTTTATTTCTTTCTTTTTTTTTTGTGGAAATGCGGAGAATTTTTGAAAACATATCTCAATAATGAAAATTAAAATTTGTACAAATTTTATTTATTTAATTGTGTAATTTGTATTTGGAATTATGGAAAGATAATTTTTCTAAAGTGTCTTTAATTATTATCATAATCTATTTTTTCTCCTTTTTATACAAAATCTGGATAAATCTTTTTTGATATACATGTATATGTTTTTGTTAAGAATTCAATTTTTTACAAGTTTTTATCACCAGTTTTTGTTTCAGGTGATCTAAATTTGTTTAATGAACAAAATATTCGATGGAAGGGTAGAAATTTCAGGATATTAAGGAAAAGAAATCTTATTAATTGATTTTGAATTAATGATCTTCACTTAGTATATTTTTCCCTGTACTTTTTAAACAGAATCTCGCAACTGAAGCCTGATATCCATTTTTTTTTTAATTCGTTTAAAAATTATGCAGTGATTTTAAGGGTTTGAATTTTTAAAAAATACTTAAAGGTACATGGGACTTTTTTTTTGTCTTTCAAAAAATATGTATATTTAGACAATATTACCAGTAGTAATTTTTTTTACATAATTCATTTGAAGGGATAAACTTTAATCAAATCTTTACGTTTATTTTTCTTAAATAGAGGTTAAATTGGCCATTTCTTCCCCAAAAGTTTTATTCTACTGCTTAAAAAAATGAATTATCATAAAATTAAAAGAAAACAATAGGTTATAAATATAGATCATTTCCTAAATACTTCATTTAGATATTTTAAAAATATATAGACAGTACTAGTTTTGTTGATGAAAAGGCAGATTATTGGTTTTAATTCAGTCAGCTATTACATTACCTCAATGTGAAATCCAAGTTTAACTTATAACATTTAATGATGCAAAAAGATTTTAATCAAATAGAAAGTTTAAATACTCATTTTTTCTATTAGCAGATTTTTTTTCTTTTTGAAATAGCCTAATACATTTTTTACTGGAATTAACAATTTTCACATATGCGCTATATATATTTTTAAATGTTTGCGTAGTGAGGCAGTTAGTTTTTGTTGCCATGGATTCTTAAAATCAAAGTTTTGTTTGGTGCTTTAATTTGCTTGAATCTCATTAGTATATAGTAGGTAATATATATAGAAACATTGACTTGTGTTACGATGCAGCTGTTGTTGATATGTAGTTAATTTTTAAATCTTATACTGTTCCTCTTTTTTCTGTTTTGTTTTTGAAATATTGGTACTAGTTTTTGCTCAGCTTTTCCTCTCTTTCCATGTTGTTTTTGTAGTATTGGTACTAGCTTTGCTCAGCTTTCTGAGTTATACTTGTAAGAATTTTAATTTTCATGATAAATTCTTCTTAATAGGCACTGTACAATCATTCTCAATATGACATACTACTTTAATACCAATACTTTTTAAAAAAACTTTCAAATTTATTTCTACTTCCTACCCGAAATTGCCACTGCAGTAGGAATTAAGATTTTCCACACTTGTTGGCATACAAAAATATTGTAGGTATGATTGATAATTATACCCCCCGCAAACAAAGTTTGGGGGGGTATATAGGAATCACCTTGTCCGTCTGTCTGTCTGTCTGTCTGTCTGTCTGTCTGTCCGTCTGTCTGTGCAACTGTGTCCGGTCCATATCTTTCTTACAGAGGGACATTAGAATCTACTACTCCACACTAAGATTGCTCATAACCTAAGGGTGTGTCATGACCTTTACCCTAGGTCATTTGGGGAAGTTCAAGGTCACTGGAAGAAAAATTTCATAATTCGTGTCCGGTCCATATCTTTCTTATGGATAAACTTGGTAGGTTCTCATTTCACACAAAGATTGCCCATGACCAAGGGTGTGTCATGACCTTGACCCAAGGTCATTTGGGGAAGTTCAAGGTCACTGGAAGAAAAATTTCATAATTCGTGTCCGGTCCATATCTTTCTTATGGATAAAATTGGTAGGTTCTCATTTCACACAAAGATTACTCATGACACAAGGGTGTGTCATGACCTTGACCCTAGGTCATTTGGGGAAGTTCAAGGTCACTGGAAGAAAAATTTCATAATTCGTGTCCGGTTTATATCTTTCTTATGGATAAACTTGGTAGGTTTTCATTTCACATAAAGATTGCCCATGACCCAAGGGTGTGTCATGACCTTGACCCAAGGTCATTTGGAGAAGTTCAAGGTCACTGGAAGAAAAATTTCAAAATTCCTGTCCGGTCCATATCTTTCTTATGGTAGGTTTTCATTTCACACAAAGATTGCCCATGATCCAAATGTGTGTCATGACATTAACCCAAGGTCATTTGGGGAAGTTCAAGGTCATTGGTAGAAAAATTTTATAATTCGTGTTTGATACATATCTTTTTTTTGCAAAAACTTACTTCTGAAAAACCCAATGTCATGGACAGTTCTAGTTGATCTGAATAGCATATTTATTATTTATGGGTTTCAAATGTTTTTTTGAGGGGAAAAGGGTGTGGTTGAGGGTTTTAGTAAATTTTATAACAAAATTTTTCAGGCAATAATATGGATGAAGTAATATGTATGCACAATAATTATGAATTGGTTATAATATCATGATAATTGTTTCGATTTTTGAGGGAAAACAAAACATTTTATACAGTGGATTATACATTTGCAGTTACTCAGTATAATACCCCTGGTAACTACAGAAGAAATGGCATTTAAAGATAAATAAAAATGCATCAAGACAATTTTATTTGTATAATATCAGGCATATTACTTAAAATGTTGTATACCATTTCAAGGTTTAACTTTCTCTGTCAAAAACATTGAATTGAATCTATACATTTAGAAAATCAAGTGTTTTTAGAAATGTGTGTAGGAGTATATTTTGTTTTCAGTACATAAAAAGTTTTGTTAAATCAGCTGTTTTTTTTTTCTTTTTTTTGTATGTATTACATAATCAGAGAGGATCATAATTTGGGAAGAATTGAGTCCAAATTTCTTTTTACCTTGACCTTTGTCCTGTCTTTATTATTTTTGTGTTGAAAACTTTTTTAGAAACTATACATAGACAAGATATTGTCATCTAACATCAGTGAGGACAGGGGGATGTTTCTGTTGACATCAATATCCTGTATTTTGAAGTATTTTGCCTATGCCTCTAGATCTACAATATATTGACTATTATTATAACCAAGCTAGGGAGAAGTGGAAAGCTGCAAATGTTGTCCTAACTCCGCACTCAGGGCAATTGAGCAGGGAGAGATCTTTTTCATGTCAGCACCTACTGTGACACAGGACCGCGATTTATACGATCTCCACATCCCACAGTGGCATTCAAACCCGCAATGTAAGGATCAACTCCTTACTTTGTGACTCTAGAGCAGACACTCTAACTACTGCGCCACAAGGCGACTGAGAGAAGTCATAGAAGTATGATCACTAAAGACACGTTCAACTTAAAAACAAGATGATGATTACCTACCGTAAATCTGGAAATTTTTGCTGTAGATAAATTTTTAGCAAATTTGTGAGTTGATTGGATTTGCAAAAATATTTTTTCTAAAAATAAATTACCAATAAGAAAATGTAAACAAAGCAGTGGTAATTCGCAAAATTTTGAAACTTAAAAATTAATCAACACCATTTTGACCCGAATTCGCAAAACAAAATCGACATAAAAATTTCCAGATTTACGGTATTCATCCTGTATGAACAAGTACTCAAAAATGAGAAAGGTTCTATTCAGTTATCCAGGATATATATGGACTTGACAATTTATGAATTTTTAATTGACAAGTTGTTTTCTACGATGAACAATAACACCTCACTTATTTTCATAAATTTATTATAATTTGATGAAATAAAAAATCACAGATATATTTCAAGAAGCATATTGTCTTGCAAACTTGGAGGAAAAGAGGACCAACTCTCCTTCAGTAACTCTAGGGTAGAGCCAGAAACATTATGGATAAAAGTTAAAACAGCTAGTGTCTAAAATTTGTTAACTAAAACTGCAACGGAATAAAATTAACAAATCCTTAGCTTACAAAATCAAAAGGAAAAACCAAGACATAAAGAAATGTGAGTATTGCTTACAGAACAATACATGCATGTACCCAATTTACCCCAGCTTATCATGGGCATAATGAGAATGCAAACAAAAGTTGACAGATGTACTCCCAATACTCTCTCAAAATATAAAAACCACACAAAAAATTTCAGTAGTTTGAGCTATTTTAAAGCTGTTTGAAGTTAAAGATCTGCAGGAGTTGGGGTAGAATTACCCTTTGATTACTTAAATTCAACTTTCAGTAAATTTTTACAAATTTCACTTCAGGTTTGATAAATTGCTGTTATTTTAATGAATTTTAGTGCATTTTTCTAGCAAAAAATGGAAAGAAAATGATATTCATGCAAATTTTGTGAACCATACATGTACCAGGGAAAATGTAACACAGAATCTTAATAAAGAAATACAGTGATGTGAAAATATGAATTATCTCCCATACCACATGGTCACACCCCCCTAAGTGACAAAAATGTATAGAGCAGTTAAGATAAAATGTATACAGTGATCCAGGACATTTATATATGAAGGTGATCTTGGTTCAAAGTTTCACTTAAATACATTTATCATTCAACAATTATGGGATGAGTTGTGAATCAAAAGACAGATAGATGGATTAATTGCTGAAGAAGAAACAAAAATAGCAGAGCCCTGAATTAAATGATATGGGACTGAATTTAACATTACTATTGAAATCAGTTTATCCAGTTAACGTTCAAATTTATGAACAGAGGAAAAAAAACAACAGAGTCATAAAAGGCAAATAAACCACAGCTATTTCAATGGATTTTTATCATGCATTCACAAAATATGTGGGGTCTGAAAACAGAAATAAATCATCCAACTGCCTTTTTGCACAATCTGTTTCTGAAAAAAAAAGTAATGATCAAAAAAATGAGAAGAGGGGATTCTTGAAATGTCAGTTTGTATTTTAATGCTAATTTTAAAAAGAAACTTAGTTCTATCATATAGGATGCAAATATGAAATAAATTGGCTTCATATTTGTATCACTAAGATAAAAAAAATAATGACTTAACCAAAAGCAATGATTGTGAAATGGAGAATAAGAAAAATATACTTTGTGAAGAAAAATAATAAATATATGTACCACTGAGGCACTGACCCCATTGCATACTTTAACACCACATGCATTTAATGAACAAAGAAAAAAACAGGATAAAACATTAAACTATGGCAAATATCTAGGTTACCCATTGATTTGATACTACACCGGTAGTTATTGTACTCTGAATATGGTGTTGGAATTATTCTAAATACTTATATCTGAAAATAATATTCAAAATAAATTTTTTTCTAGGACTACATGTTAAAGAATGACTGCACATATAAAGTGTGTCTTTTGGAATGTGAATTGTAGTGACCATATTTTTCAGTGTGTTAAACTTGTGTGAGATTTACATTTAAATGAAATTACTACAGAAAAAAAAAACATTTTAAAATATTTTGACATAAGATTAAAATGATCATTGCTCTTCTTTATTTTTTGATTTTGTGACACCTCCCTTTTACCAAAAAAAGTTGACTTCCTACAACAAAACTGTACATCTAGTGAATTGTTAAGATATATGGTGCAGTATATGTAAATTACATTTGTTAAAAAAAAGAGACATTCATAATACAATGCATCAAAAACAAAGCTTCCTAATTCTACAGCACTTAATTCACATATGTTTGACTATTTCAAATATGGGAACATATGTTCAATCAGAATACCCATATCCATGAATCCATGTACATTGTAATTGAAAAAGCTTTTTAGAACTCAAAAGCTTAGTCATGCTTTTGTTCAATCAAAGTTTGGGATTGTTTAGATACATAGTATCTGGAGTAATAGATAATACCGTAATTTCGGGATTATAGGTCGATGGGGTATATAGGTCGAAAGGCTCATTTTCAGCCTTAATTTTTGAAAAATCCTAAGATAGGACGAACTTACTATATAGGACGAGGCTTTGTTTCCCGTTTTCTAAAGATTCTTACGCAGATACAACGTATCAGAACAGATAAACCCCTAAAATTACCGGGGTTATTCGTGACATGAACGTATCAAGAAAATAAACACGTATTTTAATGAGTATAGCATTTAAATAAAGTTTTTAAAAAAAAAATGTAGTTAAAAACTTCTTTAAATTGTGTTACTTCTTATTTTTCTCCAACTTGCCTGTTCAATGCCGCCGTAGTTTCACACTGTTGTTAAATCAGATGCATAAATAACGCGTAAATACGTTATTATTTTACAGCTATAGTTCGGGAAATACTCGAGACCAAAGAATAGTAATTCCGATTCAGAACAACTTGGACACATTCCTAATAAATTTTATTTCGACATTATTTACCGGTGGACGACAATTACTTCGATGTCCGCCATTTTTATTTTTCTTCTCCAGGGATTTGCTAAAACACGCAAATGATCATTGAATGTATATATCAAGCAACAGTAAAGAATTGAAATCATATTAACACTCTATAGTTTAATTTATAAATTTAATTGAGAGTACATTCACAATTTGACTGTCAACATGAATTTCACGGCTTTGTTTGTTCAATGATGTGTAACACTAATACCCTATAATGGCACGTGGGTTTCTTAATCATGCCCCGCAGGCATTTAAACTATACACAGGTGTTATAACACCTTTGCGTACACAGTGTAAATCCCTTTATCTGTCAGACAGTTAAAAATTCTGTTAGAAGCCAATCTTTGTATCGGTATATTCAAGATAAGTTCGTTTGACCGGTATTACAAGTAACTAAAATTAAAAAAACACAGTAATGACTAGCATTTATTTTTTTTGGTAATTAAATTTAGGAATTGAATGGCAACAAATTATTTCACTCACTTTACATTTAAATAAACATAAGACAATAAAAAATATTTAATATACTATTTCAATTTATTGCTACTAATAAATAGTAAAAACACTACAGTTGTGATCGTGAAAAATTTCCGTATTTTAAATTTTGATACGGTTGCGGTTTTACTTTTAGTACACGATCGCGACTTCCTAACTTCACAAGATGGATACCGCATGATGTTAATGGACAATACGTTGAGGAATTATTTAATAGATGAAGCAATGTTGTTTTCCTTTGTCATCAACGGATAATTAATGGAATTTATTTTGTAAGAAAGCTATAGAATAAATATTTTATTGTTTACCGGGGCATTAATTTTTTGCGAAAAATAATCAAAAAAGTTACGAAACTGGCACAAATTTGCTTTGAAATTGACGTAAATTTTACTGATTAGGGGGCATTTTTCGTAAACTTGAGCCTTAAATAGGTCGAATTCTGTATATTGGGCGACCCCAGCGGTTCTGAGAAAAAAGTATCGACCTATATTCCGTAAATTACGGTACCTGGTAGTGCTAAAAAAAAATGCACATGTTGATTAAGGAAATCATGATACATTCCCTTTACTGGAAGATAATGAGTTAGACATTTTTTTTGTTTTGCTAGATAAATTAAAGTATTATCAAATGCCTTTTTAATACAAATGATTCATATAAATCTATCTGAGCAAATACAATCCTATATTACAATTTAAAGCACTTTAACACACTCTGTAAATGCATTTTTTTAAAATAGATTTAAAAATGACCTCATATACAAGTGACCAAAAAAAAAGAGTTCAGTAAAAATGATAATGAACAAGCATATAAAATACTGCTAAACCCTGGCCAATAATATAAATCACTTTCATACTTAAAAAATAATTAAAACACCATATATGATTGCCCCTCTCATTCACGCATTAAAACTAAAAATATCGGTATGAGTTGTGTCCTCTTGGATGCCTCAGTTGATCTTAATCTGTTCGATGTTTTTAGTTTGAATGCCGACATGTTTTACTTCTGCACATCCCAGAATTCCTTGCTGCTGCTCACTTTTTTTTTCTCATGATTGCTTGGAGCTCTTTTTCACTGGATAGGGTGTCACAATGTCAAAACAGTATATCTCCAAAAACTGACAAATTTGTTGGCACACTGCTATGCAATATCGCAAAATATCCTGAGACACGTAAAACTAAAAATAGAAAAGAAAATGATTTTAACTATATGGTTATACTCCATAACAAAAGACACGCCTCTAAGTAACACTACAGTAGGCAAGCATTGGATCAAAAGGATTAAGAGAAAATGTCAAAAGGAACCTCTAATACTTAAGTATATCTGACCTTGACTTCATTCTTCTTTCAGATATTGAAACAGTTTTGTAATTGCTGAAGCATTAGGTCAATGTGGATAAAGATGAAGTATAGTGCAGTACTTACAAAGCAAATCCACAGGACAAGAGTTTCATTTATTAAACAGTTGAAATATTGATTTAGGAAGAGTAGAAGTGGTCCTAAAATCCCAGAATCCAGGAGGTCCATCTCACTCTTTGTCATGTGAGCTACCTGTCAGAGAAAACAAAGTACATGTATTAATCAACAGATATACTGACTTAGGGTCATTCCTACCCCCCCCCAAATGTTATTTTTGTCCTTTCATGCTTAAAACTAATTTTGTCCAGCATTTTAATTTGCCTTAAGAACAGATTATACAAACAAACAAGAGGCCCAGGGGCCACAGCGCTCACCTGAGCACATCGGGCTTGAATTTACTACCCCCCCCCTTCCAGGCGTTCATCATTTGAACAAACTAGAATCTACACTACCTATGATTCCATATAAATATCACTAATCATAGCTTTGAAGTACTTGAAAAGAAGATTTTAAAAGTTTTTTTCTATATATCCCTATGTAAAACTTGGGTCGGCCATTTTGGCCCCACCCTATCCCCAGGGCCGGGGGTCATGATTTGAACAAACTTGAATCTACACTACCTGAGGATGATTCCACATGAGTTTCATCTTTCCTGGCCCAGTGGTAATTGAGAAGGATTTTTAAAGATATTTCCTATATATTCCTATGTAAAACTTGGGTCGGCCATTTTGGCCTCACCCTTGCCTCGGGGGTCATGATTTGAACAAACTTGAATCTACACTACCTGAGGATGATTCCACATGAGTTTCATCTTTCCTGGCCCACTGGTTCTGGAGAAGAAGATTTTTAAAGATTGTTCCTATATATTCCTATGTAAAACTTGGGTCAGCCATTTTGGCCCCACCCTTGCCCCGGGGGTCATGATTTGAACAAACTTGAGTCTACACTACCTGAGGATGATTCCACATGAGTTTCATCTTTCCTGGCCCACTGGTTCTGGAGAAGAAGATTTTCAAAGATTTCTCCTATATATTCCTATGTAAAACTTGGGTCGGCCATTTTGGCCCCACCCTTGCCCCGGGGGTCATGGTTTGAACAAACTTGAATCTACACTACCTGAGGATAATTCCACCTAAGTTTCATCTTTCCTGGCCCTGCGGTTCTGGAGAAGAAGATTTTTTAAAAATGCCATTAATTTTTAACAAATTCATGATTATCTCCCCTTGGAGAGGGGCGTGGCCCTTCATTTGAACAAACTTGAATCCCCTTTACCCAAGGATACTTTGTAGCAAGTTTGGTTGAAAATGGCCCAGTGGTTCTTGAGAAGAAGATGAAAATGTGAAAAGTTTACGACGACAACGACAACAACGACTACAACGACAACGACAGACAACGGACAAATTTTGATCAGAAAAGCTCACTTGAGCCTTCGGCTCAGGTGAGCTAAAAATGGATGCCTGGATTGGTATATATTTCTGGGATATTTTTGTTGCAAATGAAACAATAATAAATTTCCAAAACATTAAGAAAATGTAAACCTTCTGTGATGTTTTTAAAAAACAGGGGCAATAATTTCCCTGTATACTGTGCATGTTCTTTGATTTTTTTCAATATCTATGACTATATGTTACAGCTATCTATCGGATGTGATATAATCATAACTTTTCACTATTCCGAAACTTTTCCAAATCCTTTCTAGTAACTTACTATCAATCTGTTGATGACTTTTGCTGCCAATAAGCCAAAACTAAGGAGGTAGAGACAGGGGTAATTTTCAAATAAATGAGATGGTGACTTGTGAGCTATCACTACGGCTAATGTTATCACTATTCCTATTGGAAATACAGGAAATATTGTGCTGGTTCCCTGCAATAAAGAATTGAAAAGAAAGGGAATTTAATAAATGTTCCCACAAAAAATTCAATAAACAAGCAAAAAAAAAAAAAAAAACCACGAAAAAATAAATTAATTTAAGAAAAGAAACATGATCTATTTTTTTGTCCTAGGCATACTGATATGGTAAAATTGTGTTCATATACCACCACATACAACTGTTTACTACTTACTGCTATAGTGGATTTATTTTTGCCCGTTCCGCCCTTTAAAATGATGCCTATGTTGTTGTAAAACTGAAGAAAGGCAGGAGCAAGGCTTAAATATATCATAACCAAGCGTAATGGTATCCCTAAAACAGGAACCTGTAAAAAATCCTCTGTGTTAACATTGTGTAGGTATCAAACAATATTTTAATACAGCTTTGTAAAATGATTAATATTAACAAATATAAATATTAATAATATTAGTATTAACAAACCTGGAAGTTCCATATATGAGATCCAAATAAAAAATTGAAGAAATATAATGACATGATAAGAACCTGGGTCTCTGTAACATCAAATCTGAAATATAAAAAATTACTGTTAGCAAATTCAGTCACTGTTGTGCCAATAGATAATATATTCTAGAATCACTTTTCTAAAATGCAAAGGAAAAATGTTTGTAAGCAAAATTTTACTAGTTTTGTGTGACATAATTTTGCATTTGGAAAATATTGTGAACATCTGAAAATATTTATTTTTTTTCAAACAGATATAATGAAAAGCTGCAAAAATAATATAGTTGTTTTTTGTTTTTTTTTTTTACAAGATAGCCTATATAACTTCGTTGTTTTACATATTACCAAGAATAAAAACGGTATCATAATTTTGTTATGCATTTGGTATAAAATTTAATTACTGACATAATTATAAAGTATTAAAATCACTTCAATTATCACATGATGTGGGTGCTAGCTAGCGTGTGTTTACATACCCATTGGTGACACAGTGCACTTAAAATAAACATCTAGGATTTAGTTACTTGTTAATTAAAGTTAAAAAGGCAGGTTTTATAGCTGGATATCTATTTATCCTCATAGCATGAATCGGGATCGACCTCGAACGTCTTTTTCCAAAACATCACCAGAAAAACGTGATGTTTATGTTTTACATTTTAATGTTTATTCAATAAATATCAAAGCGTAAGTAAAAATATTCATTTTTAAATGTTCTTTTCTTCGTAAAACCCGCATTATATAATTATTAAATGAAATAAAAGCGTGTCTGTAGTTGTTTTGAACCAAAAACGATGCATGCTCGACTGAAATTGAAAGTAAGAATCGGAAATTATGTAGTCGTTAAATTCAGGTAAAATTGCTTGAAATTATTCAAAATGGTCAGGAAAATCACGGTCGTTGGTCGCGTTAGACAGGTGGTCGTTTAATACAGGTAGAATACATAGGGAAAAGCGTTGGGGGGAATTTTTACGGTCACATGTGACAGTGAGTCGCTTAATACAGTGGGTCGCTATGGCAGTTTTGACTGTATTTTATATTTTGGCACTGAGAACAATGATATAACATGCTTAAAAATACCCCAATATGTCCAAAGTGAATCCTCTCTAACAAAAAATTAAAGTTCATACACTCGGTCTCCTTTGATAAATCCATTTTTATTCAAAGGCAATTTTTAATGCAATATTATGAGGTCATTTTGTGACATCACAATTCCAAAAAAGTGAGATATTTTCCAGCAATATTTTGCTGCTATAAAATATTATTTATTCAACTTATCACTTAGACAAAAGTCAAAGAAATTGGTTAAGGCATTTGTTTTTGGTTATGATAATTTCAAATGGTATCATTGTTTTTGGGACACATTTGTAAAGCACATTTCCAGTCTGACAGAAAACCATAAAAAAAGGGGGGATTTTAAAGAGAATCTTTAAAACATCCCTGTGACATAAGGATGTAAGTTGTAACTTACTGTGAGAATCGTACCGTACCTGTTATGTAGGTAACTTACAGTGAGAACCGTAACGTTCCTGTAACACAGGTAACTTTACAGTGAGAACCATAACATTCCTGTAACATAGGTAACTAACAGTGAGAATCGTAATGTTCCTGTAACATAGGTAACTTACAGTGAGAACTGTAACGTTCCTGTAACATAGGTAACTTACAGTAGAAACTGTAACGTTCCTGTTACGTAGGTAACTTACAGTGAGAATCGTAACATTCCTGTAATATAGGTAACTTACAGTGAGAATCGTAATGTTCCAGTTACATAGGTCTGCCAGTGAGCCATATAGAACAGGAAGATACCCAGAAAGATATTGAACATCATCCAGTGGACGTTCCGACCCAGCTCCAGACTGATGGACACTCCAAGCGCAACAAACACTGCCAATAATAGGTCAAATCGTTAGATAAATAAAATATAATCAAACATAAGGGAACAAACACACCAATAAAAAGTCAAATTGTTAGATAAAATATAATCAAGTATGGGGGAGGTTTTGTCTGATTATCAACATTTTATGGAGGCAGTATAAAACACACAAATCACATAAGGAATCAAGGAAACAATAAAAAATAAACAAATCTTATCATTTTTAAATACACAAGTATACAGGTTCATGTAGTATTACATGTATGTAATTTATATTTCATCAGGAAGTACGTATTTATCAAGTATTCATGGTAAAGAAGTAAATATATTTTAAGCAACAACAAATACAGGATTGTATAAAATTTGGAGTTGCATATATTGATAATTAAGTAGCTCTTCCATTTTAAATTAAAAGGACTGCCTAAGGCCAAGAATTAATTTCTGTGAAAATTTAGGTAAAGCAAATCATTGAATGAATTATTTTTTTACAACTACGATTGTCTGCCTATAGTGCTTAATATCTTTTTAAGTTTAGTTAAAACTACCAACAGATATATTTGAATGAAATTCCTGCAAAAGAATTGCCCTTCACAAGCCTAGTGAAAGTTATTTATAAATATCCATGATGGAGATTAAAAGGATATTGAGAGAAACAGAGAAAATATAATTATTTAATTCTTTTGTGTTTGGAACTTGTTTCAATATCAGATGCAGTTCCAAGGTATTAAGTGGCATCCAGTGTAAGACTAAGGTTTCACAACCACTAGCTGCCAAGAAAATATGGGAAGATGGTCATAATTTGGAGAAATGTTACCTATGCAGAAAATCACGTAATTTTCTACGTGTTATATCATATACCTATTGTGATGTAATGACGTCTACTGCTATGAAGGACTAAATATCACAGATGACAGATGTTATGTTATATACATCAGGATCTATTCTGTACAATCAACCCTGATTAATTACAGCATAATTAATCCCAGCAACATATTGCACAAACACTTTGCAAGGTCATGTCAACACTGCTACATCATATTAACTCAAAAACGATACAATTAATTGTCTGAGAGGAGGGGGGTTGCCCATCTGTGACATTAAGTGGATACATATCTTGGTAGATAACTAGGGGGGAGATTTATAGCTGATACTGTAATGTATTACATGTACTGTTATCAGATACAGTAGAAAGCAAGAAATATCCCCCATATTGATTTATAGGTCAGTCATTATTATAGTGCATGTAGTATTAACTGATTTCTGTACTGAGTAATGGGTGATTTAGAATTGTTGATAGAAAACAAAGGGCCTCACTTGAAAGAAAAGATATATTGATATATTGACTCAAACACAAAATACTGAATATAAGTTATAACACATTATTATGTCAATACACACATTGTGGTGTAAGTGAAAGCAAACAAATGAAATGAAAACCTATCAATATATATATTTACTGACTAGTAATTGCCCAGAAAACTCCAGATCATATTTAACCATGATCTCTATTAAATATAGCTTCTATATCATTATATGTAGAAGTACTGTACATGTACCTGTGGATACAGAATCACACCCATGGTCAAACAGTTCCCCGAGGGGGGTGTTGGTCCCCGTGCGGCGGGCCTGCTTCCCATCGATGGCATCCAGGGACTGGTAGATGAACACCCCCAGGGCACAGAGGAGGTACACCGAGCGGGGAGCCTGTAAAAGAGATGGAACAAATTAATAATCTTTAAAAAATGACCTCTTGTTTTAATTTAAGAAGTGTTTATTGATTGATGGATCTTTTTAAAATCACAAGGCTTAAAAACTTCACTATGAGGTATACTAGCTGGCTTATAAAATTACCAGTCTTTTGGGATATGTTTTTATACCATCATAATCATAAATTCAGGGACCCATTGAAAAGTCTTGTCACAATGAATACACATATGAAGTATGAAAGAACTAGCACCAACTGATCAAAAGTTATGGTCAAGGTTGAAGTGTGGTAATTTTTAGTAAAAAAGGATCAAACTCCAAGGTTAAGGTCAAATTTGGTGATACCCTGACAGAGGCTTTCTAACAAAGGGATACATCTGTGAAATATGAAAGCCATAGCCCCACTCACTCAAAAGTTATGATCCCCCCCCCCCCCAAAAAAAAACATTTTTGAAGACAAACAGAAAGACAAATGGATGGACTGGGGTAAAACTATATACATATATATAAAAATATTTTTTAACCTTGATCTTAGAGTTCGACCCACTTTTACAAAATATTAACTTCAGTCATAAATTTTGAACAGTTAGCACTAGGGCTTTCATATTTCAGGTTTATAGTCCTTGTGACAAGACATTCCTCTTGATACCAACAATTTTTCCATTTTGATCTTAGAGTCTTACATGTACATGTATTTGAAAAACTCAAACATTCAGCATAAGCTGCCATACGGGGGCATCAGTGTTTCACAAACACATCTTAATTGTTTTATCTTTAAAAATTACACTCAAATTTTATACAAATAAAGAAATTCATAGACATAAAAAATTTAACAAAATTATGATACACTTCAAAATAATTTATTTTCTTTCCTTTGAAAATTTTCCCACGCCTAACTGTTTTGTTTTTTTTTTCAGTGTAATTTTTCATATAAGTGCCAGCAAAATTCTGAAAGATTTCCTGGACTTTTTTCTGCATTGTCAATGTTAGACTAACAAACTCATTAGGAATGTACATTATGTATATGATCAAAATTGTGCTGGTACAGTATGTATACTTATGTTCTCTTGAAAACATGATCCTTATCGGCCATTAGCCTCAAGTAATTATCACTTGATACCAATTATAATGTACAGTCATGTAATTGACTTCCTTCTGTTTAGTTCAGTAAATACTCATCATAAGATAAATACATTCATTGGTACAAAACACTGTAATACTGCTTTATCCAATCCTAGTATATATACATTGGATCAGAGTCCAACAATAAATCTACATATATATCATGTATATTTTGTAGGTACCATTCTTGTTCATTGATATCTATCATGAAATTTTTTTTAACACTATACTGATAGAATGACAGCTTCACACTCTCTGTTTTTAGCTATAATATAAAAACTTCAAAGGGTTTTGTAATTTAAGATTTATTGTACTAACATGATTAAACAGTACATTGTCTCTTTAAAGTTTCGTGATAACTTTAAAATATATGACACATCCTCATGATTATCTAGACCCCTTTGTTAGATGCTAGTTACATAAGTACTAATATGGAAAGTGTTCTTGACATATTCTGCATATTCATTTTTTTTTTAAAGCAATTTCATCATCATCATTAATTATTATGTTATAATAATGAAACCATTTTAACAAAAGGGGGATTTTTTTGTGGTCTCAGTGTTGCCATACATTTTCATACATTTAACTAGATACACAAGAATACAACAATAACAATGTTTATAACAGCTAGTGCAAGGGTCAATGACTTCCTGAGGCTCATGTGATAATCTGTCAATCAGTAGTTAAAAACACATAAAGGCGTAATAATAACTGGGAGGACAAGGCCATACATGTAATCTAAAAATATCAGGCCATTACGCTGAGGCAAATAATACAAAAAATATTGACATTTCTTTCAATAAAGAATATTGTTACAAAAGGTCTTTGAGATTTGCCCTAAATTTGCTCTTTTGCTTCACCGGAAATTCATATTTTTATCTGAATATTTACCTCTGTTACGCCGTCCGGCGAGCATAAAATTAAAAGAAGAGTGGTCACAGCATTGATGATTAGTCCAAGCAGTGTGATGCTGTTAGGTGCCCATGTCTTGGGAATCTGTTCAATCAACCATCGCCAATAAACTTGAAAATACGGTTCAATAAGCGACTGTCCCGTGGCACTATATTTATGATCTTTTAAATTTCGTAATTGTGTTTGAGTAAGAATTTCTTTCACCATTTCGATCAAAATTGTCCAGAAATACTATGAGAAACTGTTCATCTAATTAAGTGCGTATTCACCCTATATGCTGCACATTGTCAGTGTACTATGACCTCAGTCTTCCAAAATAAACAGGACAACATGGCGAAAGGCCATTGCACATGCGCAGCCGGAAATTCTACTAGAAGGGCAATATCAAAAGTGGTCAAAAATAATAAAGTTTGGGAGCGGATCACGTCAGAATAAAGATTCCAATTTTCATGATCTCTCCACATATGCAGAATTTATTCCCCTTTTTTTTGTCTGTTTTGTTTTCACCGATACTTATATTGGATATTTTTACTGATACATCTGTAACGTTAAATGCGTGACGAGCTTTTTTTTTTTTATGAGTTTATGACGCATTATTTGCATTATAAATAGAGAATAATACATACCCTTTTCCATATCACATCCTGTATCAGCCCGAGACACCAATATCAACCAGAGGGCCGAAGGCCCGATATATTGGACGAGGGCTGATACAGGATGTGATGTGGAAAAGGGTATGTTTTATTATATTTATTACATACTTAGTAATAAAATACAGTTGAGAAGAAAATAAGTAAATAATCATGCATGGACTTCTAACATACATGTACAAAGTCTAATGTCTCATAAGATTTGGGTTTGTTTCTATTTCTATTTCAATGCACTTGATCCGTAATTTGAAAATATTCTATAGTATTACATGTATTTGTAAATTAAGATTAACCTTATTTTCAAAAAGTTAAAATTAAGAGAATATGAACCCACCAAAAATTGTGTATGAGTACAAGTACTGTTATTGTGGTTTAATTTACTAAGGGTGTGATATTGACGTCACAATAGCTGTATCAGCCCTGCAGGGCTGATATGGATTTGCAGGGCTGATACGGATATCAGCCCCGCAAATCCATATCAGCCCTGCAGGGTTGATACGGCTATTGTGACGTCAGCCATATCGCATATGCAAAAAACCTGTATTTATTACTAAGTGTGTAATATGTATCTATCAGTTCTATAGATAGGTCTTTAATGTCTATAAAACGATGCTAAGTTTGCAAACGGACCAAACCAGGGACCTGGGTATATACTAAGTATATAATAGTATATAGGAGCCATGAAGGGACACGTCGATTTTTCAAAAAAGTAAAAATTAATTTGAGATCTCGAGTTACACAATCCGTTCCCTCGATTTATTATTCGAGATCTCGAAAAACGCAATCCGTTCCCATGGATTATTAATTCGTTCTCACAGATTATCAATTCGTTCCCTCAAATAACACAATCCGTTATCTCGGATTGTAATTCATTCTCTCAGTTTAAACAATTCGTTCCCTCGGAATGTTAACCCTTCTCATGATTTCATTAATTCAGCTATCTGTACATACTAGTATCGGATATGGCAATACGTGTTTAATGAATAAAATATTATAGTTGTTTACATCCTACCTTTTATTACATATTACGGTCCAAAATGAGAAAATTACATGAACATGACTCAAATCCATATTCTAGAACTGATATTTATACAAAAAAGTCCTGGGTTTTATTTTACGTGTATATTAGAATAATTGAAATTCCTATATAGTAAAAGTAAATATGGCTCCTTTGTAATTATTTTTTATCTGAATAAATATACGTTGAATTAGTTATAAAAGAGGTTCGGAACGACCGCGGTTGTTAAAACAAATTACATGAATCGCATTAATTAATTCAAATAGTTGGATTTTAGTGTATCCAACATTACATGTATACATATAGACATTTGATAAAATTCGCGCGCACTGATTGCAAAAATCATAATACTGATGTTAGAAATCGAGATCTCGAATTATTAATCCGTGGGATCGGATTGTGTAATTCGAGGTATCGAATTATAAATCGAGGGAACGAATTAATAATCCGTGGGATCGGATTGTGTAATTTGAGATCTCGAATTATAAACCGAGAGAACGAATTAGTAATCCGTGGGATCGGATTGTGTAATTCGAGATCTCGAATTATAAACCGAGAGAACGAATTGATAATCCGTGGGAACGGATTGAGTAATTCGAGATCTCAAATTAATTTTTACTTTTTTGAAAAATCGACGTGTCCCTTCATGGCTTTCGTACTATCCGGCTTTCGTATTAAAATCAATATAATTCCCAAAAATCCATTTTACTTTCATATACATTATAAATCAATTTAAAAAAAAAAAAAAGAAAAAAAAAAACAGTGTTTGTGAAATGATACCCCCATATGGTACATGCATATGTAGATTATAGAGAAGATTAAATTTCTCAAATGCAAGTCAAACTCCAAGGTCAAGAGATAAAAAATGTCACAAAAAGAACCCGATTCAATGATATACCTGCACCTGGTAAATATGAAAGACCAAGCACCAACCTTTCAAAAGTTATAAAAGTAAAAGTGGATCAAATACCAAGGCCAAAGTCGAAGGGTTAAAAAAAAGATACTGTTAAAAATTTATCTCAAAGGTTAAAGTTCGGTAGATATTTTGCAAAAGTGCAATTTACCCAACTTAAACATTGGCCATAACTTTTGAATCGTGTGTGCTAGGGCTTCTATGTTTTGTTCTATGTTCTATGTTCACATGTGTATTTATTGTGACAAGACCTTTCCACGAATATAAATTTATTTGACCTTTTAATTGGCTTTGATCTTTGAGTTTGACTCTTTTTTTTAAATTTAACCACGGACATACTGGAGTAACTAAAAGTCTTTAAACAGTTAGTACTTTGGCCATCATACCTTAAAGGTGCATTCCATGTGGCAAGATCTTCCTTTAGATACCAACAACTTTGACCTTGGAGTTTGACCTATTTTTGAAAAAAAACTTTAACCTTGGTCATTCTTTTTGGTGCTTGGGCATAACTTCTTAATGGGATCGGATTTCATATTTTCACAGGACAAGTCCTTTTTGGGTTAAAACATTTTCATTCTTTGACCTTGGATTTGGCTAGCTAGTCTTTCATTTAAGAAACTTAAACCTTCGCCAAAAGCCCTCTCACGGGCATCAGTGCATGTTCCAGGGTAAATAGGTCAAATATGTTAGTACCCAAAGGAAGATCTTGTCAAAAGGAATACACCTGTAAAATACGAAAACTATAGCTCATAAATTCAAACCAATCAAAGGTCGTCATGGGTAAGGTTAAAGTTTTTGTGGACAAACAGACAGATACGAGACAGACAGACGAACAGAACAAATTTAAACTATATTATGATACGCCCGAATCTTCGATAAAGGGGGCAAAATAATTCTTCAAACACTTGCCATTCACGGTTCTATATGCATGCGATAAACATATCCGTGCATATTTTGTCATGTTGTAAATTTTGAATTTACCGGGTGGCAGTAAATTCAAAATTCACAAAATGACAATTTCATGCATGCATTTGCATTGAGCATCCTATCCTGCATGCGCCTTACTGTATCTGACTGGCAAAAGATTTTACTTACCACATACACGAGGTATCGTGGGGTGGGGCTTTTTCTGAACATTACTTTTTTTCATGAAAAATGTTCATCGAAAGCCCCACACCTTCAACCGGTTGCTGCAGTATGGTAACGCGGTAATGAAACTTTAAGAATAAAATTTGTATTTGAAAGAAGTTGGACCCCCACGTGCACCCTCCGAAATAGGATTTTCATTATGCCCGCGTAATCGAAGATTTTTGCCCTGTTTGTCTATTTATTTGTTTGTCTACTTGTCTGCAAAAAATTGAACATATTGCCCATAACGTTTTTTGTTTGGAGCTATTGGCTTGATCTCATGTTTCACCTGTGATTTCCTTGTGATAAGGCATTTCTTTGGGTATCAACATATCTGAATTTTAATCTTGGTCAGAACATTTTAACATTTGGGGCTAGAGGTTTAATATACCCTATTTCACACGTTTATTTCTTATGACAAGACCTTCCCTGGGACCTTTTAATTTACCCTTTGACCTTGGAGTTTGATTCACATAAAACAAGACGTGTTTGTGAAACACTATGCGCCCGGCGGCAACAAATTTACAAAAACATATTTTTAGCATAAAGGTCACAGTGAAGGTCACAAGGTCATTGATTTTGGTGTCATTTGAAAGATCTTGATTAGTTAAGTATGCATACCAAATATGAAGTCTCTATCTCTCATGGTTCAAAAGTTATGGTGAAGGTTCAAAAAAGCTATTTTTAGGCATATAAGACACAGTCAAGGTCACAAGGTCATTGACCTTGGAGTCATGTGAAAGGGCTTTATTAGTGGAGTATGCATGCCAATTATTAAGTCTCTGTCTTTCTTCGTTCAAAAGTTATGGCGAAGGTTAAAGTTTGCCGTCAAAAAAACTATATTTAGCGTATAGGTCACAGTCAAGGTCACCAGGTCATTGACCTTGGTGTCAGTTGAAAGAGCTTTATTAGTGAAGTATGTATATCAAATATGAAGTCTCTATTAAACATGGTTCAAAAGGTATGGCGAAGGTTAAAGTTTGCAGGCAAAAAAAGATAGTTTTAGCATATAGGTCACAGTTAAGGTAATAAGGTCATTCACCTTGGTGTCATTTAAAAGAGCTTTATTAGTGGAGTATGCATACCAAGTATGAAGTCTCTATCGATCATGGTTCAAAAGGTATGGCGAAGGTTAAAGTTTGCAGACAAACGGACAAACAAACAGACAGACAGACAGGCGCATAAAAAAACTTTTTATGGTTAGCTCTTGGGATTTCATATTTCAAGTTCTTTCTCTGCATGGGTTAAACATTTTTCAGCTAGCCTCCCGCTCCGGAGACGACCAAGTCTTGTCTGACTTTGGAGGGGAACTTTTGCGCAGAGACAAATTATTATATTATACTTTTATAGCATTAAAAAATACAGAGATAGGATTTAAATTTCGAAGAATTTCAATGAAATCTAAGAATGTCACATCAATGGAAAATTTGTTACCAATAAAATTTGGCACACATTATAAATTCGCCTACAATTATGAAGTTGCATTGTTTGTTCAATTAAACTGTTAATTTTTTTTTGAAAAGTTTTAAAAAGTCTTACACAAATTAACGTAAATGTTTTTCAATTTATCATGTGTAAAAATGACCTGACCATTATCATATTCGTATTCGATAAGATCATTGTCCGTTTATACACCGGATTAATTACCAATTCCGTTTACACTGCCTTTTTGTTATTTGGCTGTTTACACTCAAAATACACAATTATGATATACTTTGAGCTAATCTTGTCTTGTTTATATTTAAATAATGTTATAACCTGCATGATAATACGACTGTTTATAATTAATTTTTAAAAAAGCATACTGAAACGTTAATATTCGGAAGAAAATTGGCCGATCTTACAATGGTCCAATCAGATGTCAGTTGCTAGGAACTGTCCACAAGAACACTCGATCCTAATGGAGGACCTAGTCTGTTTTGATAAGGAAGGTCATATATCTGTCACGGGAAACTCCCTGCAGCAAAACCAAGATTCCGAATTAAGGTGAAGCTTAGTTTATATCCTAGACAATCTACTGTCCATATGGTCTATTTCCACTAACTCCTTGACAACCCTGATGTTTTACCAACGTAACAATCCGTTTTTAATTTTTTACTCCATATCTCGTAAATCCATAACTGCGCTGGCTGCATGATAAACTCGACACTGACATCTCAATAATATTTAGATTAGACTTAAATTATATTAATTTTTTATTCCAGTGGACGAAAGTAGACAAAGCATCAATGAATTTACTGTATCCTGTCATTCAATTTTTATACTGACCCCAAGAAGTCATGTTGAACACAACCGAAGCTATAAATTTTCAGTTCACGAAAAGAGACGAAATATACTCTATATTAACAGTTCTTTCATCTTCATTGTCAGTTTTTGGAGGGATTGGAATTATCGCCATTTACCTCTGCTTCAGAGATCTTCGGACATGCGGGAGAAAGCTGTTGGTTTATTTGAGCCTAATGGATGCTTTGACCGCTTTTGGTAACATTCTCGGCGTCGTTTGGTTGTTATGTCGTGCAGGAACCACGTGTCATTCGGTGTACGAGAGCATGGGGTTTTGTAGACTACATGCTTCTCTAACTATTTTTTCGAGCATCAGCTCATTCATCTGGATGATTATAATTGGTGTTTGTTTGTTAAAAAGTATAATTTGGAACATGCCCACGTTTGCCAGGACATATATGAAAGTTTTCTACCTTATAGCTTGGCCAGTTCCAGGTAAAGTATAAATGACGTCATAAAGGACGTTCATTTTGACAAACTTGGTTTTTTTTGGGAGTTTGGAACTAGTACGCAGTTAAACTTCACAACTCGTGTACTTGTAGAATAAATGTCATTATTGTAAAATCAAAAGATGCATCTCAGATACCTCGAGCTCGGTATACATATATATATATATGTTTTGGTAAGGAAGGATATTCATTTAAAAGTTTTGTTACATAATAACGATCTACAGGGGATGCTTACTCCTCTATGGCACCTGATCCTAATTTCGGTTGTGTTAATGGACTCTTAAGCTTGATGTTTGAAATTATAAATCTCCAGGTTTAATCTTAAAATTGCAAGCATTTACCATGTTTACTTAAAACTTTTCTTTTAAATGAAATTTCCATTTAACGGGCTCTTTGTCCATAGAAAAGGTGTACCCCCAATACTCTAGAGTAAACATGTACTGATGCATTAAATTTCTAAATACTTCGGCTTTTTGGTACTTTTTGCGATGTCAATACATATAAATGAAAATTGTAATCAGCAAATAATGAATCGATAAATCAACATCAAAAATATACTTTTGAAATTGTAGGATTGGTAGCCATTTTGAGTTTATCTCTGGATGTGATTGGCTATGATAAAAACATCGCAAGCTGGTGCTGGATTGATCCAAACACTCCCGCCATCTTATTCTGGCAGTTCTTTACCGGGAAGGCGTGGGAAATGACTGCTTATTTGTCAACCATAATAATGTATTCGGTCGTCAGATGCTTCTTATTCAAACATGTAAGCAAACTATACTGGAAAAACTAGTTGTCTAGCTTGTATTCGTGTGTGATAAATACTACAGTATCCCGAATCATTTAATTTCGCGACTTTCTTTAACTTGCCCATATATTTATCGCCACGAACCAATTATTTGGAGGTAGCTAGAAAGAATGTGTCTTCGGTTGTGAAAATTTATCAGTCGTCGCGAATTGATTTTTAAACTGACGAATCGCGAATAAAAGATATCGCGAATAATAGTTGGTTTACAGCACTTATTTATTAACCAATCAGAATGTTGAAGAATATGCATGTACAAGCTCCTCGTATATAATTATTTTTCGATTAACTCAAAAAAAAAAGAAAACGAAGTTCTTCTTGTCAATACTCTGATAATCATAATGAATATAATTTTAGACGAACAAGAAGAGTCTTGCAAAAAGTAAGAAGAATTCCAGAAAGGCTGCCCTACAAGAAGCGAACCTGAAGCTCACGTTTGTGCCAGTTGTTTTCATCGTACTCAGGGTGTGGGGGACGCTGAGATTTCTCCTAGGGAATCTGGCGCACTACGACGCTCCATGGATATCATACCTACAGGTCAGCTCTGTTTTTAAGAAGATGATCTCAAATACCTGCAAATGGTCATAGCTTGTAGATGTATCTTCCCACGTCAAGGCCCCGGGTGTCTGATCCATACAGCTACACATAAACCTTTGACTGAATAAACTGACTTTGACGGGGTTGGAAATACGTTTTCTGATTGGTCTCATAAAAAGTTGATAGGAGCCAGTCAAAAACAACGTTTTAATTAATCCAGCCTGAAACTATAAATAGCAAACAGAAATATCCTGATCGAAACTGAACAGTACACCAATTTCAGTCTAAACCATGAAATAACCAAGCCTTATCTCAGCTTAGGAGCTCAAGTTATGCGGAATCTACTACCGACTTCCAGTATTGTATCGCATTCTCTATTTAATTCGCTTACTCCGATTGGTCAATAGAGAGGTCAATAGAGTTCAAATCGTGAATCACTAGATGGCGCGAAAGTAATCCCCTTTAAAAACCAGTCTATTTGGTCAAGGGTTTGTGTGGAGAGAAGTGCATGGATAAGAAAATACTGACTTGTGTAGATGTTGTAGGACCTAGCTGCAGATCTGTAGTGTTATGGTTTTGTATATATTGTCTTTGACCATAACGCTACAGATCCCGTAATGCAAAAAAAGTGCAATTTAGGGCGCAATATTTTTTGCGCACTTTTGGGGAGAATTTCTCCACTTTCCCGCATCGGTCAATCAATTACCTTTCACTCCCTAATTCTAGACACATTCTGTAGCCAATATATATATTTCATCCGATTCTCAACCAATTATAGTTGCATCTAAAGGGAATAAACTCGCTTGAAGTGAATTTTCAGCAATCTAACGAATAATTTTAATCAAGCGAGTTTATCACTTGTAATGACGACTATAAAGGGTTGGGAGACGGATAAAATACACAGATTAGTTAAATAATGTGCCTAGAATTAGGGAGTGAAAGATAATTGATTGGCCGATGCTGGAAAGTGGAGAAATTCTCCCCATATATAAAAATATAAAATTCTAAAAATATTGCGCCGTAAATTGCAACTTTTTTTGCATTACGGGATCTGTAGCGTTATGGTCAAAGACAAATATAAAAAACCATAACGCTACAGATCTGCAGCTAGAAAGGACCATGTTTAAATCAATTATAGATGAGACCAAGCAGGTTGTGTCGCCGTCAATTTCTCCTTAACCAGTTACCAAAGGTTTCCAGCGTGGTGCAGTAGTTAGAGTTTTTGCTCTACAGTCGTGGTGTAAGAAATTGGCCCTGACATTGCGGGTTTGAATCCCAGTGTTAGACGTGGAGCCCGGTCTTTCGGATGAGATCGCATAAAAAAGAGGTCTCCTGTCGCAGTGGATACTGGCACAAAAACATCCTTCATTGCTCAATGAACTTTTAAAAGTGCCGAGTATAGGTCTAAAACTTGCAGTCTTCAAACGGCAAGTGATTGCGTCTCAATTTGAGTAAAAAAAAATTCGAAATTGACGTTAAACAAAACAAAACAAACAAACCAGTTTCCAAAGAAAAATAGAGAAGTGTTGAGGATACGGAAGATCATGATGTTATTTATAATCTATGAAGAAGCCAAGTTTTTTTGCTACCATTTATCCCGACACCATATCCTATTCATATAAGCACTTGCTCATTTCTGAAATAAACTAAATAGTGACAGTTTATAAACATTTTGATTTTTTTCTTTTTATTTCAGGGAGTCGGTGATAGTTCCCAGGGCTTTGCCAATTTTATCCTTTATTGTGCTTTGACTGATAAAGTAAGAGAAAGGGTGTTTTCCGCCATATGTTTACGACACAGAATTCAACATCCGGAAGAGAATATTCGACAACTCAAAGCATCAACAGTAGAAACGCAGCTGTCTCATAATGACGCGACAAGGACGGACTGAAAAATCATTGCTAAAAAAATTAAATATCAAGAGAAGTCAATGTGCTGTAAATGAATATTAAAGTACAGGGTATTCACTATTTCTTGTGTGTATATTTCTCAATTTTTGTGTTTTCATATGCATTTCTCAATAAATTAAGTTTCTTGTACAACTTATAATTGTCCGAGTGTTTTTTTTTATTTTTGTAATATTACGTACATACTTATAACTCTCCACCCCCCCCCCCCCCCATTTTGAAAACTTAATTGTAGATCCGCGCGTGTGTGTCATCTTCAACCTAATATCTATAAGTTAATTCACTTTGTCAGTGTGAGCAGCATATGAAAAGCTCACGTAAGGTAGTCCCAACGCTAGAAAATTACCATGTTAATTTTAATAAAAAGCACTTGTATTTAGACAAAATCAAGACGTAATTGTAGCCCATCGTTGGATATCCACGTTATCAACAAAATTTGATGATAAACGTGATGAAGTCATGCCACTTTTCTAACGACAATTAACTTCCTTATTTATACGGTATAGCTTTTGTACCTTTAATAAGTTTTTATCTGCATATGGTGTTTATGTATCGCATGTTGATTCGATACTCAAGAGTACTCTTTGTGTGGGAACAATTTTTGATATTAAACGCATGCAAGTTAATGATTAATGACAAATAAGTTGATGTAAAAAGGATATGTCAGAGCAGTCTCGTTTTAAGTCAAGAAATTGCTTAAATTCGACTTATGGTCGATACAATAACCTTGTCAGCAAAATTATCTAATAATATCAATTTAAATGTTGACTTATGTGTTTGCTAAATTTTAAATTAGATCTAAGGTGAGTAAAAAAAAAAAACAACAACACTGACACACAACACTATACTGTTGACGTGCTTGCCCTAGTGCCCATAAAGTCAGGGCATATGTTTTATTTGGATATGCCATATTTTGACAAAGAACATTGCAATAGTTTAAATCGTATCAAATCGTTTTATTCGTATTAATGAGGTACATTTTTATAAAAAGAAATTTTCTTATAATACATTTATTATAACGCACTTCTTAATTGTATAAGAACCATCTATGTTTTCATATACACACTGTAATTGGTCGAATTGGATTAATACTCCAATCTCGATTACCATTTAAAAGAACATCATCAAAATTTCAATTAATGACATCTGAGCAAATTTAGACATTTCTCTCTAAGCCCGCAAATACTGCTTCCTTAATTAATTCCTTACCACATACTAGTATTTCCACTCTTGATAATTTTTCGAAGAATAGTGAGTGTCACATCTAATGATCACCTCGGTGTTTTCCAATTTTACCTGAATTATTTTACAAGCAAAGTAGAAAACACTGAAAACAAAACTGCTCAAATATCTTGGAATTGCTACAATCACAGCAATGACAAGTGGTCCAGGGGCATCAAAAGGAAAATTTAGTACGTGTATAGCAAAATGCAATGCTTTAAAATGTAGGGGGTTCGCGTTTTACGAGCCTGTTATTAAAATTCTAAAAACATACAGACTCTGTTTAATACATGTACATGTTTGAGGTACTGGCGCTGGACACAGATGATTTAAAAACTGTTGGGAGATTCAATAATAAAGGTTCCCAAATCTAAAACAAACGCCAGAAACTTATATATTACCCTCAGAACTCAGTGGACTTGGTATGGGACTTACGTCAAGATTCAACTTCAACATCTATAAATTTTTAGTCAAACTGAGCAGGAGATACTAAAGTTTAAATGTACTTATTTCAGTTAGTATGTACTTCCCCGCAAACATATGTACCTCTAGTTTTATCATTTTCATATTGTAATTTACACGTATAAAAAAAATGAAATTCACAACCTCCTCGAAGAATGCTTTACAGATACATTTTCTTTGACTTCACTTAGTGAAAGTGCAAAGATGTGTCAATCAAACGCCTCCCGAAATTTGTGGTTTTAATAATTTCCACATCAAATAATTTTTTTAATTACATTTTCGTGTAAAATGCTGTAGAAACATATAAGTCATAATATTATACTGAAAATATCAACTTCAAATCTGTGTGTCCACGCACCTTTTTTTTTTTAAAAAAAATCTCATTTGTAAAAATACTGTTAGCTACGATCTCGAACGCAGCCGTGAGCTCAACTACTTCCGGTTCTTTCGGTTCCTCTTTGCCTTTTTCCATATTCGCACGTCGAAGAAAAATGGCTTCTGGAGCATTGTTCGGTAGTACTGGGCGTTCACAAAGCAAAAACCTGGTCGAATTTAGGGCCGGGAAAATGTTTATGAAGGGTAAAATGGTGCACCCTGATAAGAGAAAGGGACAGGTTTATGTATACCAGTCAGATGACGCCCTGATGCACTTCTGTTGGAAAGACCGCACCACCGGAACCGTTGAAGACGTAAAAATTTTGTATTGTCATCGTTAAATCTTCCGAATTATCTCTAACCTATTTTAGAAAAATGTTAATAACATCCATTAAAACTAAATACTACAAAACAAATGTTCAAAATGTGTATCATAGTATGTCACTATTTGACGAGATTGCCATGCCATGAATTTAATAACACACAGGCACCTGGTGCACGAATCACAGGGGCATCTTATCCACTCTGTTCTCTACTTCACATATAAAAATACACAAGGGAAGAATCGAAAGTAGCACACGATTTTTAAAAAAAGTCAAAAAACAACTTACTTGAGAAAAGTTACACAAATCCTGAAAGGAACTAGCGCAAATAATGTCCTAGTACTTATCCAGGCTAAAATATTCCAGATATATCCATCGTAAATAGCTTTTATCCAACTAAAACCCCAGCTTTCTGCACAGTGTGAATCTCTACGCCCAAGAAAAGATAACTCACCCGGATGACAATAGGGTAGTACCCGAGGCCTTCCGAGTGCCATTGGAAGACTTCGGGCACTACCCTATTGTCATCCGGGTGAGTTATCTTTTCTTGGGCGTAGAGATTCACACTGTGCAGAAAGCTGGGGTTTTAGTTGGATAAAAGCTATTTACGATGGATATATCTGGAATATTTTAGCCTGGATAAGTACTAGGACATTATTTGCGCTAGTTCCTTTCAGGATTTGTGTAACTTTTCTCAAGTAAGTTGTTTTTTGACTTTTTTTAAAAATCGTGTGCTACTTTCGATTCTTCCCTTGTGTATTTTTATATGTGAAGTAGAGAACAGAGTGGATAAGATGCCCCTGTGCACGAATGGTGTAAACACCATAGGCACCCTGAAGTGTGGATCAATACGCCACCCCTTTTTTTAATTAAAAAAAACTTAAGAGTGTATTATAACTCAAAAATGATATGTTTTACGGTGTGACCGTTGGGGCGAGCGCAGTTATGTACTATCATAAACCTACACATGTACTGCCTGATCATTCAAGAAAAAAGAAAAAAAGGAGAAAACAAAACAATAAAAAGAAATCACTTCCCAAGCATCGGGATCGAGATTCCGAACTTCTTGGAAGTTTCCGAAAAAATCGGAAATACCCGAGCCGTTAAAGTGACGAAAGTATGACGTCAGATAAAAAGTCCTGTTGACTTAGGACGCAAACGATAGTTTTGTGGCATGGAGATTGCATTAACTCATTGTTTGTAATTTTTTTCAAGTAAGTTGTTGCTATGTTTTATCCACCATGTTGCTATGCACCGCAAAGGATTATTGGGAATTAGGAATTTTTTCACGCGGTGAGATAAAAATTTCTTTGAACAATGTGCAGATTTCAACCCGAATTTCCTCTGTTCGTACACGCTATTCGAGCGACGCTCACTGCGCTCGCTTTAAAATTCCTCCGTCAAACAATTCCATATTTTGTTCTATGCAAGCAGATTGTACTTTTTCTCATGTTTAAAGAATGGCCTTAATATACGCCTAATATGGTATAATAAAAATACACAAGGTAAGAAACAAAAGTTGTAAACAAACGGGGGGTTCCTTGCTTCGAGACAGATTTCCAAGGTCATAACATTAATTTGTTACCTTTCATAATTTTGCAAGCAGTCTGTCTGGGAGATGTCCCTCTACTGGTCTCTTTAACCTAAACCCCGCCATTAGTGATTGATATGCCGTAATTGGACGATTTATTAATCAGATACATAAAATTTTCTCCATTGGCAGCTTTGGAAAAGGTTAAGGAGTCACACTTCTGTTTCGCCTTATCTGATTCAGTGATTGGTTAAAGATTTAAACTGCATCACAGTTAACATCCTATATGATATTCCCCTTTCTGGGAATATTTAATTTAATTATAAAAATAGTAGATTTTATAGACCATCATACCTTTTTTGTACAGCATTACAAATAAATTTTATGCAAGAGAAGATAAGGAAGATGATGTTTTACAAGCACCTTATGTCCCTAAAAAATTAAGGTTGGTCGGTTAGCAGGAAAAACACTTTAATTTTTTTACCTCATTTGCAATTTATTTACCATACTTCCTTCCACTGGCTATGAATTAAGATATTAATGTAATATACAACCTTGTTTAGTGGAACAAAATGAAAACGAACTATGATAACTCTTCAAAGAAGATTCACATGCCAAAATTTAGTTCAATATCTGCAAGCTTTGGAAAAAAGCATGGAAAACCCTTAAAAACTAGGAATCGTTCTACTGTGTGTGATAGAATTCGCTGATACATTGGGAGTCATTAGAAGATCAATTTTTGTTTAAAATGAGGCTTTATTCCCCATTTTAAAAAGTGAGTTATCTCCCCTCAAAATCGGAACTCTTCTACACTAGCATAACTTCCGCGGACTACGCATTACGATAATCCAACAAAATAGTGATCAACTTACACGCTGCATTAAAAAAAATTAAAAGAAGGAAACGGTTTGCAATTTTTTTTTTAGATAATAAGCGATTTTATAAAGGCCTGTTAGCCACACACACCCCCTTTCTAGAAAGATATACGAATTAGGCAGGCACGTAGCATCGTCTTTAAAAGTGGGGGGGGGGGGCCAAAGAAGTATCTTTTTTCTTACCTGGAAAAGTTGACAAGCAAAGAAAAACCTTGCCCAAAGGCGAAAAGCTACTTATTTCAGTACCAGTTCCCTGGCATACAATACTACATTTCCCTTATATAACTTTACCGTAGTATAAACTCTGT